TTAGCAGTGAGCCTCACAGACTAAACGAAACAAAGACAAATGGATTTTCAGCACCACAAACATTCGACGGCGTGAAGAGTGAAGCAAATAAAATATTCTGTGGGACCGATAACAAAACTCCAAACTTACTTTGATCCAAAGTAAAATGATTGACTACACCTTCATGAATATTCTGTTAATCTGTTGTTAGCTAAACAAAATCCAGTTTTCTGACTCATCGAAGTCCATAAAAAAGAGGTTGTGTCGAGCAAACAGTCCACCATGAAATCTGACTTTAACTCCGTCATTCGAGTGTGATTGTTGTGAGCCGGCCCTTTTCTAACAGAACCTCTGTAGATAGTAGATGTAGATAAGTAGGTACAGTAAAAAGCCCGGCGTGTCAAAGGATTTTAGAGATAGGGCTCAAAAACAAAAACCCTGAATGAGAGAAAAAATATATATTTGTATTAAAAAAGTCTACATCCAGGACCGTGAAAGGCGTTGTTTTCCGTTAAAGAGAAGAAGCGCTGTGCTCAATCTGTGCTAACAGCAGAGGAAGACGGCGTCCATCTGCTGATGGACGCAGGAGGAACGTTTTTTGTAGGACAACACGGACGTCGGCATCGCCATGGTTCTCGTCAAAGAAGCACTTGTCTCCATGTGAGGAGGATTTAGCTGTATTTACCAACTTCGTTGCTCTTCTTTTAAGACAGCTAAAACATTTTGGCTCTTTTGCTAACAGATTCCATGTTTTGTCATGGAACCAAACCTTACATTTGCCCAAGCTTGTGACAACCCACAGACCTCGTTTCATGCATGTAACTCAAAAAAAACATCTTCAGTGGACGGCGCCTGGAGTGGAAAAAATGCTAACTCGTGTCTGGGATTTAAAACTTATCGGTGCAGCACTGTTGTTGACGGCTAAAGAGCACAATATTTCCCTCAGCAATAAGTGGAGAGCGAACAAAGCTAAAAGGAGAGTGGAAATTGGATACAAACACGACTCAGAATGAATGCTAATGTTGCTCTGCACCGGCTGGGTGCACAAATAGAACTGTTTCTAATTTAACACGCTTGTGATACATATTTCAGTAATACATTTAGTTTTTTTACCGTCTCCATGAGGCCAACAAATATTCCAGTTTAAGCGAACAAAGATGGTTTACGATCGTCTAAGATCATCGTGGCATATTTTTATTACAGCCTTGCGTTGCAGGAATTCCCTTTTGGCGGTTCAGTCAGAATTGATTGTGAAACCAGAATCAATTAGAGCTTCCATTCGAAAACCTTTCAGTTGTCTCCGTGGTGATTGTGCGGGGGGGACCTCAACGTACCTGACCACCCGCACGAGGCGCGCACACCAAAATGGGAGCGATTCATGTCGGCCCCCGCCACTCAGCTGCCAGCTTAATTAATGATTGCGGTCTCCTCTGTGTCTTGCAGTGGCCATGTACAGGGAGCCCTCCCTCCACGACCTGACTGAGCTGTCGCGGTCAGGCAGCGGCACGCCGACCAAGAGCCGCAGCGCTTCGGCCCTGCTTAACGGCGGGGGGAAGTCGCCCAGCAAAAACGACCTTTCCTAGCCCCTCACCCACACAGATGACACAAACAGACGTGCACACACACACACACACACACACACACACACACATTTGTAGTGTTACGAAGCAGAGGCGTAAACATAGCTGTGTGTACAATGCGTTTCTGACCTGCAGCACTCTTCATCTCCTCCTTCACCTCCTTCTTCTCCATGCGGAGGGAAATCAGTGCATGTCGGAGCTCTTCCTTTTGCTTCTCCAGCCCCTCCTTCTGACTCAGGTAGCGCCTGGCGTCCTCCTCTGCGCGCGTCTTGCCATACCGTGCGTACGGATTTACATCTACCAGAATACATGGCAGAATATAAATAGAATACTGGTGCTGTTTCATGGTAAGAAACACACAGGGGGTGGAGCTATTTAACTACCCATTGTGAAACGAAATGAGACTCACTGGAGGCGTGTCTCTTGACCGCTGCCTGTTGTTCCGTTTTTTCAGAGTCCCGGCTGGAGAAGGAGGCATGACGCCTCACCTGGCCAGCTCTGCTCTCCACATCTGCCTGCAGGAGGAAAAATAAGCACATTCACCAGATCTACATTTCAAGAGCCATGATATTAAGATAAGATATAAACTACAATCTGTATAGCCAAAGTCATGAGAGGGAATTTACGTGTAATTTAATTTAATTTAATGTTTGATTCTAAATCAAAAATGTGCAGAATAACCAAGGCAGAAGTTTCAAGATGAATTTATTAGTTTAGATAAATCTGCCGAGCAGAGGATCAGAGGGGATGAAGACTCAAGACGCTTTAAAGCATCATCATGTTTAATGACATCATATTTTATCACTGGTTCACATGGTGTTTTCTTACCTCCACACTTTCATAGACCTCGTCATATGTTCTGGAGTCTGTCGAGGCGCTGCAGGAGGAAGTCGCAGTGGTTGTGGCCCAGCTGAGGGGAAACAACACAGACGGATGAATTTGGGGAGAAAAGCCGAAGTCACAGAAAATTCCAATAAATGACACGTGGAAGCACACGAGCACATTCGGCTGGAAGTGACTCACAGGAAGGAGTGTCTTGCGGCGTGCCGGATGTCAGTGAGCGTGTCCACGTCGATGTAGTCGTAGTGCAGCTCTTCAGGCAGCGTGGCGCTGCCGGTCTCTGCAAACAAGACGCCCAGCCAGCGGCCCAGATCCTCTGAGCAGGTCGCCTGGTGGGCGCACAAACAAAGCCAGTGGTTGCTGGAGAAATGGTATCACTGTGCACGGGAACTCTCTGTCTCATCCGTCTCCACGATCATGGAAAAAGAGCCCAAAAAAGAGAAACCTCCTCTGCCGGTTAAAAGTGTCGTACCTCTAAAGATGCCAGTTCACTGCCCTCCTGCAGGATGCAGAAGGAGAAGGGGTGTTTGGGGCCGAGGCCGCCTGTCGCCACCTCTGCTCCTTTGAGGGGCACCACGATGACCGGTGGCCGCCGGGTCCCCGGGCTCCTTCTGCATGTACAGGTTTCCTCCTCGCACCACACACCAGTGCTCCTTTCCACGAGCCGCTCAGACACACACTGAGGAAAGCCTGCGGGAGCAGAGAGGAGGAATGTGAGCGGGGTGAACAGACTGCATTTACAGCCTTTCTAGTTCTCAAACCAAAAGACGTCTGCCAGTGCTCTGATCATCCCATCAGTTACCTACACAAGCAATCCACATACAGCGAGACAATCATCCAAATAGCATCTTAAATCAATCCGGGTCCTCACCACAGCGCGGGTTGTCGTGGTGACCAGGGGCCGAGGACGGCTCTCCTGGTAAAGGAGGTTTCCGTTTGGAGAAAGTGATGATCCGGTTGATCTTCTTCCCAGCCGCTCTGCTCATCGACCCCGTCAGCTCAGAGAACGTTCCGCGCTTCCCCCGGCCTGAAATAAAACGCACCCAGGTCAGACGGTGCTGCGGCTCACCCTGTGGTCATTCACTTTATCGGTTCATCCTTTCAGACATTTGTGTTAAATGATCATATGGACTATTGAGTCTAGGTCACAGTGACCTGTAGTCCAAGAGAACATTTGAATAAATTCGCTCATGGCCTTTTTGAGAACAGACCGGACCGGTAACCAGAGAAACCATAATACCACATTTGATCAACTACATTTAAAAAGCACAAGGCAACTAGAAGAGGAAAATTCTTCAGGATCAGAATCAGGTCATTTTATATTTAATACATCCCTAGGCTGTGATACATGTGTTCACACTACATGCACCAGGTGCTGCAGCGCCGTGTCCACCCTACATCCTATGATGTCAATGGGAGACAATCGTAGGAAGACAGGACAGGAAGGATGTCATATCTGTTTGAGCCTCACTTCCCGTCTCTGCCTTTCTCTCGCTCGTCTCTTTAGGTTCAGAGCAGCTCGGCCAGTAAACAGGTCATAACAAGGCTGAAACAATATGGCTGCGTTTGTCCTTCCTGATTCAGTGTGTAGATAAACAGAAATAGTAAATGAGCTTCAGATCAGATTATTAAAGGATGTACATTTGTGCTTTTGTATGTCCGGGAGTCTTGACTTCAAGACTGTGAAAGTGAGGATATTTTTGGAACGGCAAGGACGTTTTAGTCTTCACTGCTCCTAATTTACAGACCCATGTCTTCTTTCTAAGGTGCTGCGTCGCTTGGCTCCACCATCCCTTAGTGCTTTTATAAATAAGAAAACAACTGGCGATCGATGAAAGATACACGAGATCTGCGGCTCGAGGGGATTGTATAAAACCCATGACGCTTTTTCAACAAGAGCAGCTCACACGTGGAACAGTCCGCAGTGGAAAATTCCAACTGGCACAATTACAGAAATGTCTATTATTATGCCTGGTCACTTTAACTTTAATAAGATCCATATGGAGGGCCAAGACTTGGTGTTAGGTAGGGTTAAGGTTAAAAGGTCAGTTAGGAGTTTCAAATGCAAAACGTAAAAAAGTATGAAACATTGTAGGTTTTAGTTAAGACTGTTAAGTGTTTGTAATATTTAGTATATCCTCCTAAAAGTGAGTGACAGAACAAATACTTGCTTATGAAGGAAAACCTACTGAGTGAGTCACTGGTGTCCCGTCCCGGTCCCAGTGCAGTGGACTGGTTCTCTGCTGTCGGCCCGCTGTCAGAGTCCGATGCCTGCCGGTCGCACTGCAGCACCTGAAAAGAGTAAGTGGAAACCTTACCACTTGTTTGTCTGCTACACATTGACCCTGTTTTAACGAATACTTTTATCCGTTGACTGAGCAATAGCGTCAACAAAAGGTATACGCAGAAAACTCATTTAGACTATTTTAAAAGCTACTCTTCCTACATGGGTTGTAACTGCCATGTCGGCGTGCGCGGCGCTCGTTGGCTCTGCAGCCGCGTGGCTGTTTGAAGGCTGCCGCAATAATGTCACCTCGCTCGCTACAGCCAGAAGCCGAAGGAACAGATGTGTCACGTTTAGGCTTAGTAAGGCGATCATTGAAAATGTAAAAACTATAGAATTGTTTCAGAATGCTTTTACAGTGAAGAAAACAGTGAGATGCAACTCTCTTAGACAGAACACTGAAAAGGTTTTCTGACTGGTTTAAGTGGTAAAAATCTACCCAACACACAGCAACACATGCACACACCTTGTCAAGCTCCAACTTCCTCTGTATGATCGGAGAGGTGGATCCTTCGGTGTTGCTGCATTGGCTTCCAACATCTTGCACCACCTGTTTCCAGAAAAAGAAAGTTGATTTTGTCCTCCAACCCCCACCCCATATTCCCCCATTGTCCTCACAGACCGTGGCCGTCCCAGTACCAGTCCTCCGATATAGTCAACAAAAAGGTACCTTGAGCCACCGCTGGGCCTGCTCTTTACTCTGAACAGCCAGGACCAGAACTTCGCCTCCAGGCAACGAGAAGCGCAGTTCATGTCTCTTTTTCCGGCCTTCCTTGGGGACGTATATGACGTTGCACAGATTCAGAGGAAGCTCTGTGTGCGGTGTGCTCTCTTTGATGCTCTTATAGCACTAGAGAAAGGGAGAGAGCGGGATGCCGTTATCAAAAAAAATACATTTCTTTGGTTCTATAATAGAACCTTTGAAATGTAAATTAGATTTACATTATACTTGCATTTACCTGCAGTTTTTGGTCTCTGACAACGACTAATTGTTTGGCCCATTGGCCAAAGCGTTTCTTTCGCAGTAGGAAGGCACAGATGCGGCAGTCTTTTACTGGTTCTTCCGGACTCTCCTCGGCCTGTTGTCGTCCCTTGGCCTCCTCGTCCTCTTCTTCTTCGTAGGACTCGTATGAGCTGCTCAGAGCATCAGAGTCGTTGTCTGAGCACCAAAACCAAAAAACATTCTGTTTGTGTTAATCAATGTGTTCCAATAACATTACATTGGGACATGAGTAAGCACTAAAGCGGGTAGACCCACAGGAGTTTTTGGGCGGCCCATTAATCCTGGTGATGGGGTAGTTATCGTCGGCGTCTTCATAGTAGGCGTCCTCCACGGAGTTCCTAGAAGCTGCTGGAGAGGAGATGAAGGAGAAACTTCAAATCATTTGTTTAGTTTTAATAATTAGTGCATATTTAGGGTTTTAGGAGTACTGAACTGTTCATGTTGGTGGTAAAGTACTGAGGCGCGGATCCAGGATCTAGAGGAACGGCCTCTTCGTAGTAGTCGTCGGGGAGCGGGGTGGTTGGCAGAGGAGGGGGCGTGTCATTCGGTGTCTGAAGGGAAAGTTAAAGCAAAGTTTTAGTTGCGAGGAAGGCGGAGGCGAAGGGCCCGACGGTCACACGCCGCGTAGACGACTCACGGATTTACTGAGTTGAGGCGTCTCCTCTTCCTCTGTGTGCTCCTTGTGCTCTTCTGGAGAAGCACTGAGCATGTGCAGATCACAGTCTGCTGGAACAGAGGAGGATTTTGTACGCATCGCATTTCGTAGATGTTGTGGTATGATTGGAAATTTACACTTGTGATTATTTACTCATATGACTTCACAGCACTCAACTGGCCTGAAGGTCTACTCACCGAAATCCTCAAACAGAGACTCCACGAAACTGGTGCCGTTGCCATAGAGACAGCTGTTTATGTAGACGTCTGAACCATTGACTGTGGAAAAGATCAATTAGGTTTTGGAAAGAGCATGAAAGTACTGTAAAGAATTGTGGTCTACGCTGCGGTCAGGATTAACAGGGTGTACAGAGACAAGGAAGTTCTCAGACGAGGTTCAATGCAGAACAATCTGCACTGTTTGTAGTAGACAACAACAAGGAGGTGTGCAGATAGGAGCTTTTCAATCTTTGTTCAAGTCATGAGTGTGGGAACGTTTGTCAACGTTTACCAGGGAACGTTTATCCCAGACATTGTGGAAGTGATTCAAAACAAACATTGCAGCACTTTGGCTGTAAAAAGCTGAATTGAAGTGGAAAATGTGAATGTTCTGAATAAGTAAGTATGGGCAGTGCAGCTTGGATACATTCAAACCGTTGTGAGAATGTGTTACTGTCAGGGTGGCTTTTCTCCTTTCTTTGACCTCTTGTTATCCTCTTACTACAATCCTTTTATCCCCTCCTGCGTCCTTCTGTTCACCTCCCAGATAAACATGGATTTACTGTCAAGACATCACTAAGATTCCATGTCCAATGCGCATGTGTGCAAATGCAACACACAATACTGTACTAACGCAGTTTTTTTGAAGAAGGTCGCCCCATTCAAAAGCACGAGGTGGACATAAATGCTCTGTCTTTGTCCAAATGAACACTGTGACCTTCCAAAAGAAACGCTTTTCAAGTCAAAAAAATAATAACAGAGCAGGAGGTCGTGCACACCTCCACCTGAGACTTTACTCCGTACCTGACAGCTGCATGGAGTCCAGAATGTTCCGGATGGAGGCCATCTTGTCGGTAGTGGCAGGACTGACCGTCTCGTGATCCAGCAGCTTCAGCAGAGAGCCCAGCTCGCTGACGAGCCGCTCCATCACGACTGAGAACCACAGAAGATCTTATTAGTATCGCGTTCGCAGAGTGACAATAGAAATCTGCTCTGCCGCTTAGATCCCTTCCGATGTCACATGTCCACCCCCTCGCCCCTCCCCATCGGGGGAGAATTAACCATATATTTCTTGCAAGCCAAAAAGAGAAGACGGGACAGAGCATTTCAAAACAGAGGTAGACCCAGACAAGCAATGTGTTAAAAATAGTGTTAAACCATGTACGCATGTTCCAGTAGAAACCCCACATACAAGCATGTGCCTGAAAATGAGCCCTGTAACATGGCAAACATTCTTATGCTATTACAACAAGTGCATCAAATATCAATCCGCCACTTGCAGGGCCGCACAGACACGCGTGGACGGCGCTGGCGGTGCACGAGGGGCACTTTGGAACTCATCTTACTGCTTGATGCAGCAGCTGACCGGGAGGAGATATCTAACATGGGAACACATCGCCTTGTTCGTTTTGTCCGCCCTATAGAGTCAGTGTGTTAGTACGGTCTCTTCATTTATCCCTACACCACCACCACCGATGAAGTCCCACTTTTTAGACATTGAGTTTTCTTTGAAAAGTTGTTGTTTTTGTGTTCAATACCGACATCCTGTGTGTTTTGTGGACCTTGACATTGTTTCAAAAAGCTCTTGCCACACTCTCACACATCCTGCCGGGATGGAGGAGGTGGGAGAGTCAGAGAGAAAAGGGAGGTGGGGAGAACGGGGCAGGAAGCTTCTTTCCCTGAAGGAAATGGGAGCCAAAGTAAAGAATAAAATCTGTACTTCCACTTGAGATAGAATAGGATACGGTGACCAAAGGGCCCGTTAGTTCATTCAGTTGATTGTCCATTCACAAGCGATGTTTGACTATAAGCATCAGCTGACGTTGAAACAGAAAGCTTCTTCAGTACAGTAACCGGCTGACCTTTCGTTAAGTACTGGAAATCGTTCACTATTGATTAGACGACACATGATTCCTGCCATTAAACAGATAGAGTGGTCTGGATCTTAAAGAATTTAAGAGCTGCTAACCCTAAAATTATTGTATTTCATTGTGGTTTTAATGGAAAGTTGTCCACGGCCCAAAAGTAAGTGGCTTATTACACAATGCCAAGAAAAATATTTGGGGGAAACATTCAAGTTTTTGTCATTTTTGGCAATAGGGTTGTAAAATCATCATGTTGCTTCACCCAAAACGAAGTGGAAGTTCAAGTTCAAACACAACGCAACACAAGTCACTGTGCCGCCCATAGAGAGTAAAAGTAATCTACCTCCTTCATAAATATTCCCTAGAAATAAATAAATAATACAAAAACCCTAAATCTGAATTCATTTATTTTTTTGAAAGCTTCAGCCGGTAAATATGGATGTTTGAGACTTGTTTGAGTTTAAAAAATATGTTGTTACAGGGGTTAAAATTAAATAAGATCAGAAAAACAGCCTCACACACTGAGGACGGAGAGAGAGAAAAACCCCCTCAGTCGGACAATACTCCATTGTCTCAGCAAGAGCCAAAATTAGATGACCACAATGCAAACAACACAATGTCTCAAACTCCTACGAAAAACAAAACAGGAACCAAGACACACAAACACACGGTCCGAGGGGGGCGCGGTGCGTCGCAGCTGCATCGCTTCAATCCACGGCCATTCAGGGTTAAAGGATAAATCTCCAGCAGCTGTGTGTGCGTGCGTGTGTGTAGTATTTCTCGGCCAGCAGCTGTGGTTTCCTGTCTTAGCTGTGGACAGAAGCGTTTCTCCACTCCTTGATCTTGACTCTCTCCTCCACCCTACTGCGAGTCTGCCCCCAAAACCCCCCATTCAGTATTTATTGAACAAGCAGTTTGGGAACTTTCTCTATTGATCTACTGCACTTCACTTATCAATAGGAAATGTTGGGAGAAAAAAAAAAAAACGCCTCCCTCCCTCCCTCCCCCTCTCTCTCCCTCTCAGAATCAGCTGCTCTGGAGGCCTGTGGTCGGACGAACCCACAGAGGGATCTTTGTAACCCCAGATTCCGCGCACACACACACGCTCAAAAACACACACACACACACACGCGCACACAATCAAATGGCAAATGTACTGTATTTCCTCTTTGAATTGGCAAACGGAACGTCACTTAGGACTGTTCATCTACACAGTGCGAATATACCGTCACAATTAAACCATGTTCTGGTTTCTGTGTCGCCTCGCGAGGAAGGCAGTCATGAGACCAGAGCCATGCCACTCTCATTTGAACTGATTTAGCGTGTTTGGTTGCTGCTCAGAACAAAACAACTACAGCTGCTGCTGCTGTTTATCCCTCCGCTTCATGCTTATGCACAGTGACCAAAACAATATACCGTTCTTCTCTTAAGCCGAACCTTCAACGCCCATCCATTACAGTTCTAACCCGGCAATCCGAGGCGAACCTCCTCCCTGACTCGCCTCTCTCATTCGTACAATCGCTTCCTTTCCCCCCCGCTTTCCCTTCTGGGCGGACTTTACCCTTCTGGAAACTGAATGCATTAAAATGACGTTGCCTGGCATACGGGATTGTCCGCGACGGGAACATTTAAGTTGGACTTCACACGGAGACGCATCTCAATGCATCCAGCGTGTACGCGCTCTCATGCCTCCCCCACTCCCACAGGCTGAGTATCCCTCCAGATCCCACATTCTCCAGTATTTCTTCTCCCTCCTTCCTTCATCCTTTCCTTTTAACGCCTTTCCCTCGTCTGCAGTCATCCATCCCTTCTCCAGACACCCGTACTCTTCATGCCAAGGTCAGAGTTCAAGTCTTGGCATCCCCAGCCAGCTCCTTCTTAGACAAAAGTCTTCTTCAGAGACTCGACATCTTGTCATTTGTATTTTTCATGACAGCAGTAGATGGTGTCACTGCACTGGTTAGCGTTCAGTCAGACACTTCGATCCTCCCCAGCCCCGGAAAACAAAACTGGCAAGATCTTTAAAAGGAACCGCTCGGGGGGGGGGGGGGGGGGGGGGTTCACATTCTTTCAGTATCTTATCACTTTCCTCAGTTACATTACATTACATTACAGGTCATTTAGAAGACGCTTTTATCCAAAGCGACTTACATTACACTTTAAACCCATGGCTTTTTCACATTTTTGCCTTGGGAGCAATTAGCGTTAGCAGTTAGCGTGCCCTGGCTAATTAGTCCAACAACGAAGTATTTGCAATAATGTCAAACTTCTCTTTTAAACCTTCTGTGATGTTTTTGACATACACATCAAATGTGGGGGCTACATGTCATGTGACGGAGCCGTTTGCAATAAATTTGCTGAAAAAAAAAAAAAAAGTAAGAGTTTAAAAGGAATATCTCAACGTTTGTGAAAAAGGCTTTGATTCGAGTTGGACAAAAAAGGGCCACACACACTTTTATTCAATGTTTGTTTTTTGTGACCGTACTTCCTGGACCTTGAACCATGGAAGGAACATGGTAGAGGTCAAGGCCTGTCCCTCATTGAACAGTTTGTTACTCCTGTCGTACTATTGCTGCATAAACGACTCCCGTTTGTTGCAGCATTTCCGCTTTTATCCCCAGTTTGGGTATTTTTGCACAGGTGCTCAAAACAGCCACACAGCCGGTGTTCCAGTCGGAGGAAAAGCGCAGGTGAGAACGCCACATTGCTGGCTGATTGGTGATGACCTCGGGGCAGTGGTGTTGGAGGTCACTGTACATGCCTGTGAATGAAATACAGCCTATGTTCGACTCATTAGCAACACGCGTGGCTCTGCTAGACAAAATGTCTGATGGGATCACGGGAACATCGATCGTGATTACGGTTTGCAACCACGAGGCACTTAGGAAAAATGTCATAATTCATGTGATTCTAATCATCAGGTGATAGTGACAACTACACAAGAGCTGACCCCACTATGGTTATTTATTTTAATACATATGGAAAATGAAATGAGCCTTTGAACAGTGTCATATGTTACACTGAATTTTGTTTGATAAACCAATTTTTATTCTATTTTTGTTTGAATATTCGTTATCAATTAACTGCTCTCCCTGTCACCGTTTCCCTTCAGACAATCACTTGATTCCTCATCCTCTTCTTGCCGGATGTTCGAATCAAGGCCACTGCTTAGTCACCTGGTGTCACACAGTGCTGCTTCCTGTCCGCAGCACCGTCACCTGACGGAGTTTTAAGAACAGAGCAGCCATTGAGCGGCGCCGCTTCCAGCGCGGCACTTCTCTGTTGGCACCAGACTCCATCACACTACCTGAGGGAGGAGGACACCGCCTCCATCCACGCGCACGCGCGCACACATACATACACAACGCAGCAACCGGCGCGTGGGGGGATATGACGTCATTAGCTCGTTACTCCTGCGGTCGAATGAGAGCAGAGCGCGAGGCGGTTCGTTCGGATAAACTAACCGAACCTACCTGATGTAAAATAAAAGTCTTTGAATGCAGTTGCTTGAAGTGTTGTAGACTACGCTAACGTTATAGCAACTTCTAGTGGGGAGTTTAAGTGACAAGGCAGGGTAATTATTAGTTTAGTGTATTTATCACGTATTGTGTCTGGCGCTTGTGACTATTTTATCCCATGTGTGCTGCAATGTAACATTAACGAAACGTTACATTTGTCCAACGTTACATGTAACCGTTAAGCTTCTTAGCAAAGTTACAGTGATTCTTTGTTCGCGAATAACTGCCGTATGACGTTAAAAGACTGTTGCTCACCACTTTGGTGTTTGGAGTCCATTTCGTTTGGTGAACCGCTTATTTCCGGTAATAATCCCTCAGTGTTTTCATTTAAAAGTTCGTTAAAACGAGAAACGCGTCGGCTCGAGCACTGCGGACCTCCGCGCGGCCGGGTGACTCAGAGTGGCCGCTGCGCTTTATAGTGTGACTCGGTAGCCGCTGGTTCGTCATCCAAAGCGCCCCCCTGGGTCCTAGTGCTAGTCTCAGCAATCCTACTGAACGTTGGGTTTAACTTATATTATTATATACCACACGTTTCACAAATATGACTCTGAAAAGGCTCCCTTTGAAGCAACAATAACCACATTTTAGGTCATGCAATCAAGAACATGTTGTTCATTAGGGTTTTTATTGTATCACTGCCAGCAATAGAATCTGGGGTTCTTTACGAGAATAAGTAAGTCTTATAGTCTACCAGAATTCAGAAAATACGGTATTTTGTTTATGGATTATGATTTGGAATGCAAAACATGACTTTATAAAATACAATGCACTTTGCACGACCCAACCGCAGCCTATGTTACCCTTCAACTGCCTGCCACAGCACTATAGCAACTATGCACAGTATTTGTGCAAGTAATAACTAAATATATAGTTTTGTAGATGTTTGCATTTTCCTAGTTAGTTTGACTTCCCAGGCCTACAAAAATTATATCTTTGACAATTGGTGCCCAGAGAGGAGGTACAACATCTGGTCAAGTGGTGTTCTGACAATAACCGTGTCCTTAACACTCCAAAAAACAAAGAGATTATCGTGAATTTCAGGAGAACCAGGAAGGCCACACCTCCCCCTCTCCACATAAACAGTGAGGAGGTGGAGAGTGTAAAAGTGAAATCAAATTCCACATCACAAAGGATCTCAAATGGGCCATCAGCACCTCCCACCTGGTGAAGAGGCTCTTCTTCTTGAGGAAACTCAAGAAAGCCAAACTCACCTCTAACCTCATGGTCAACAGACTGAGGAACAGCTTCTTCCCCAGAGCTGAAACAACAATGACAATAAAAACCTTTAACCTGTAACAAAGTCCAATATGTCTAGATTAAAAAAAAAGAAAAACACATTTGAATCCTTTCAAGAAACCACTGAACTATGTGACGGAAAATAAAAAGACTACACCATCAACTTGTGCATTTAGGGTTCATCAAAAGTAATAATGAAGAGAATAAATAATAAAATGGTGATGGTTGAATCATTTATTCACAAGTTTTAGTTAGATACATATTTGAAAATTATAAATGTTACTCCCTCAAATAAAAAAACAAACACATTTATGTATGTGTGTTGTTGAAGACCTACAAACACACATATACGCACACGCGCACACAAACACAAATTCTGTTTCTACATTTTTTGTGACATTCATTAACTCTTTATTAAACTCCCTGAACTTTTTGTCCTTGGCATCTTTCTTTGTTTGTCTCCTCACACATTCCTTCCATCGTTAGTACCTCCTGTTCCCTGTATCCTTCTTTCCTTCATCTCTTCCGTTGCTTCCTTCACCTGAGCATCTTATTTTCTCAATATTCAGAGGGTCTGGATATTTGTTTGTGATATATTCTTCATGGTGTGTAATAAAACCTGATTTCTATTACATGGTTAATTCACAATAAACCCCACTAAGTGAACTGTACAGTCTGCTCCTGTCCTTGAGAAGAACTCTAAAAACTCATATGGCTTCAGAAATACTGACAGTCGTGCCAGTATTTAAAAAAGAATAAAACCTATTGGTTTCATCATGTGCACATTATACATATGGACAAACACTGTGCAGGTCACGTTCAATTACCCCAATGTCCTCAGCTTATGAGCGGCTGATCGTAGTGTCTGTGTGAATAGAGCAGAATCATTTTACTCATTCAGGCGGCCCATTCTCTTCGCGGCCTCCATTATTTTCATCATGGATGCCCGCTTGGAGCAGCATGGCGGACTCTCGGCGCGACATCAAGTACATCGGCTTATGGTCCACCTGGCCATGCGTCGGACACCCCTTTGCTCTGGTTTTCATGCTGCCATCTGCTGGTAAGAGAGTGAGAGGCAGAACAACTCCTTCCACTCTTTAGCTTTGGTGGAGCTCCACTGTGGCTCAACGGTTGCGTCTCAAGTCAAAGTTCTCCTTCCTTTCGCTGCAGTATCGTTACCATTCAGGCTAGTTGGTTACCCGAGGGGCCCAGCAGTTCTGCTCCTGTCCCATCAGAGGAGGAAAGTTCATCTTCCCCTGTGACGGTCGCTTTGGGGTCAACGGGCCTCTTTGTTTCTTTTGTTTTTTTGTGGCACACTGTTGAACCTGCATTGTGTCGGTTCTGGTGGCTTCAAAAGAGTCGGGCCTGTTTCTTCAGTTCGTTCTTCTTCCACTGAGCGAGGTGATCGAAGGCAGACATGGACATTCCAAAGACTCGGTGAAACTCCTCTGGTGAGAGGTGACGCTGGGAGGAGAGAGGACACAAAGCAATGGAAAGTAAGTTCTACCTGTCTCAGAACTGTTTTTGTCATGGCACGATGGACGGCAATAACAGACAGTCTGTGATTCAATGGGCTGTTATTGAAGTAAAAGAGTTTACCTCGAGTCTGGCTCTGTCCACATCACTCGGCAGACGCTGCTGCCCTCTGACGGACACTATTAGGACATCATATGGGTAGATCTAACACACACACACGCACACAGGCATCACATGGAAATGTAGCTGCATTTAGATGCTCTGTTGAGGAACGTTCACACAGGTTGGAATTATAACTCAATTAAAATGCAGCATTAAAAAAGATACTAAACTAATATTTGATGTGGTATTTTTGCACCGGAACCATTCTGTTAACAAGGTCCACTGATGGACAATTTTAGTATTTATCGTTGTCACAAACCCTCCAGTGGCCAACAGCAGGATTTACAACACAGACAATGTGAGAATTAATCAGAAAAATGTTTCAGTCTCTGTTTAGTTTAGTGTTATTATTCATGCAGTATTCCAATGCGGAAGAGATTAAAGAGAAATACTTGTGCTGAAATGTTGAATAATTGAAAGGATACTCCGGCAAAATCATTCTTTATTTATTTTAAAGACCTTCCACCCTAAAGTGATGAGGTTGTACAATTTCAAAAAGAGTATTTGAGATTTGCCAGTAACTCCAATCAGCCAGACAAATGTAAAGAAACACACCTAATGATGTTTCACAAAGTTTATATTATGTTTCTTGTTAGATGTTTGAATTTCAGTTTGAGTTTAAGAAAGATAGTGTAACTCTTATTATAGTTATAGTAGTTGACCTTTTTTGAGTGTGAGCTCACGACCGTTTCCACGTCTCTCTAATGGGAGAAAAAGTTGCAGAATATTACCAAATCTTTTTCCCCCTAGTCTCCACTCAAGGTGGTAGACTTTGTAGTTTCACAAGCAATCCTATTAGTTTAACAACATTACACTGATTGAAGTGGGTGTCACTGAGTTAGGTGAATCAAATATAAACTCTGATCTATCAAGCCTTGATCCAGACCTTTCACTCAGTACGTTCTCTATGCCTTACCTTGTATTCTGAAAGAAAAGCAGAAGAGAAGAGCCATTATCATTCATGGCAACTGTTTGCATGTGTTGTCTTTCTATTATTGTGTACGCTCTAAATGATATGCATCAGGAGGGGAGGTAAATGAGGCGGGAAAAAAAGCAGATTCAAGCTGCACAAGTCTTACCTCTGATCTGCCAGTTAACTGCATTACTGCTGTCATACTGGTAATAATCTGCACCAGCGCTCACAGGCTGCCGGGACACAAGCAAACATGAGTGAAAAGATGCATTTTGTTATCATAATAGGGGGAAAGGATCAACCAAAGTATAGAATTAAATAATGTGTGAGAAATCAGAAATCAGTGGGGTGTTCTTACAAATTATTTACCACACTGAGTTAAATTAGAATAATATCAGGTTATATCAAGGACTTTACTGAAGTTTACAGTTGCCTGTCTTGTCTTGTCCTGTCTTACTCTCTCTATCCCTCTCTCTCTCTCTCACACACAAGCACATACACACAGACTCACGCACATTAACACACTTACTCTGTTTAGTCCATTCCTGCGGTAGCCTGGCAGCGACGATGATTTAGAGATGTATGAGTCTGCAGGAACAAATATAAACATGTGACCACAAGCAAACACAGTAATGCAAAATGATGCAAACACACTCAGTTTATGAATAGGAGTGCAGATCACACTGGTTTGTAAACCTCAAGGCTCCCCCCACTTCTCTAAAGCCCACCTGCCAGACTTTTGATGACGCCATGTGACTCTGACCACACACAGACATTTCAGTCATTGAGATGTGCTGTTTCATCCTCTTGTGGAATAGATTTTAATTAGATATGATAGACTAATACGTGATAAAATACAAATAAAAACCGCAGTACATCCACCTGCGCATTCACAAGTGTATGTGTATTGCTGCTTCCCACCATCATTTTACGTTTTAGTAAGAACACCATCACATCTAAATTAAATGAATTTTTCCCTTTTCATTCCTCCAGCATGGCCGCGCCTCTCTTGTAACCATTGGTAACCACCAGCATCCAAGCGTCCATGTGTTGTGCACGTCTTCAGCTGCAGCAGCAGAGGGCAGCGCAGTCCCACAGATCCCCTCAAGTTTTTCCTCATCACTTCATTTCCTTCTCAGCCGCACTGTTTGATTCTTGTGCTCTCCCTGCCTTTCTTCTCTTGCTCTCGCGTTGAAGGAAATTAAATTACACAGCGAGGTCAGGGAGCCAGGACGAAACACCGCGATACAGTAGAAACCTCGCTGGTGCACAGAGCGACTGTACAGCATGACTGCTGCGATGGATTTTCTTATCTACAACTTTCTTATTCTCAGTTAAGAAATACATTATTCATTAGGTGGGTCTAGGAAAGCTGTTTGTTTCATCAAAGTGTGCCCTGTTGCCCAATTGTGTGAAAACGAATAGCCTAAGCATCTTATTTATCAATTGATCATTCATAATTTACCGCGATGGCCTCTAATATATACTGACATTTAAATAGACGCTTATGGTTTTAGAGTAGTTTGAACTCGCACATACATAGTGGGACCTGATGAACCACTCACCGCTGTCTGCGCTGTGGACGGACCCGGGAGCTGAGGACAGAGAGCAGCAAGAGGAAACACACAGGACACTTTATTATTTTCATCCCAATGCGCCTTCGAAATAGAAAACCTCTTTTAATTAAAGTTTTGTGTGTTGAGCAGAAAAACTCTAAAGTCTCAATTAAAAAAAATAACAAAAACTTTATAAAAAGCATTAGCACATACAGTTCAAACACTGGTTTAAAAGTCCTCAAGGAAGTGAAGTGGTTTACACCACATGTCCAAAATGAGCTGTCAGCTGATGTTTCCTGAGCACTTCAACTGCCCCTGAGGAAAACCCCGCGTATGTGCACACGGACACATGTGAAACACGTGTTCAGTGGAGCTCATAAACCTGTCAATATGAGGACAAACAGTTACCTGAAATGAGAGGGTTAGTTTCCAGTAGAGCGCAAATAAAGAAGGCCAGCTGTTGAGGGACATCTATAAAACATCGGCAGGGTGATGCATGATCAGCGTGTGAGGATTTGCCCACATGCAGACAGATCGCCGTCACAACCTACACATCTTATAAAATATGCAGCATCGGGCCGTCCCTGTTAAAAATGTGCATTTGTTCATGGCATCAACCCACTTCATTTTGTGATTTGAATGAACTGTGCTACAGTTTGAGTTTATTTTATTTAACTAGGCGCTGCAATTTAACAAATAAGGAAAGCTTTCTTTTCTTAAAACAATAAGAGGCAGTACTGAGACGCAGTATTTGCTAAATAGCACAAGGTATTTCAATAGCTGGTATTTATTCACAAACCACTGGACAAGTTGAACTGAGGTGAAAGGAGGTTGGCAATAGATGAAAAGTCAAAGGACGGCCTAAATTGAATTTTGTTTAAACGCTGGACCTCCCATTTTGGAATGATCCTTCTCTGGAAAGTAGATGAGAACACGCCTTTCAGTATATTAACAGCAGACTATCTAAACCCACTGGGCTCACGCAGCAGTGAACCACCACATCATCAACACCTCTCTGTCGGACCTCCCTGTGCTCACTGCTAATCTTTCCTCTCACCAGCGCTCTCTGAGTCTAATTTACCCCTCGGCTTCACGTCATACATCTTCTCTGAACAGCTCCAAATTGCTTTAGCTCCTCACTCTTTCACTCTCTTTTGAATTAAATTCATTCTCTATCTGGTTCGCTCTCTGTCTCTCAGGGTCGACTGTTATAACCCCTCTCATTCATTCCCATTCGACCTCCACCTAAACACTGTCTCTCTATCTCTGTCGCGCTCCTTATTCCTGCTGAAGGCAATGAGGAATGGGATCAATGGAGGAGTTATAACAAAAGTGGACCCCCCCAATCCCCCAATCCCCCAACCACACACACACACACTGCATCCTCCTCCTGTAAAGGTAAGCATGTATTCATGCACTGAAAGCTGGTCCTAATTTCAGCCATGAGCCCAGACCACAGTCTCAACCCTAATGTGACCTTAAGGGACCAAGTCAGTGCTTACAGATGATGAATCCATGATGTTATTCACCATCCACGGCCAACACGTGCTTTAGATACGTTTTTATCCTCGTGAGCAGCAATGGACGCCTGTCGGCTCACCACTGACCCTTTGCATGAATGTTGGACGGAACATCAATGCATGTGTTTAATTGATCATTTCTATTCCTTATTTATTGTAGTAACAACTTTGACTTTTCATGTACTGCCATCAGGAGATAAATAGTTGACTTTGGAAATACTTTATTTAATGGCCAAACACCAGCCGAGCGAAATGTTGGCTCTTGCTGACGGATTAAAGCGACGACGCCAAAGGAGAGACTCACAACCACAGACTCACAGCCATTGAGGGAGCCGTATTCCACATTGTTCAGCGCCTCCCTGCTGCAACAGCGGGAACTGCGCCTGCTCCCCCACTGGTCATTGTCGTGACCAGCTGAGCGCGCTTTCATCTCCTCCTTCAGGATCATCCTGCCAATTCCCTGTGTTTGTGGGCGGGGGGTAGAAGGATGGGTTCAGCCCATTAGATATTAACACACACTTCAAATATAAAATGGAGAAACAAGAGATTGTTTTCTTTTCTTACCTTGTTTGCATTGTGATTCCATCCATCCTCGTCTCCTCCGGACGAAAACCTCCTCACCCTGGAGACTAAAGAGAGGGAGATGGGGGAAATAAAAGTTATGTGAAGAATAAATACAGGTTCCTAAGCATGTGTTTGTGAAAAAAAAAGGATGTGTCAGTACGAAAGGGAGCCGTACCTTTTGGAGAGCCGGCATATGGGTAATAGTTGGAGTCTGGGTGATAAATGCTGTTGTAGTTGGAGGTGGAATGGCCGCTGGAATTGAGGAGGTTCTCATTGGTTTTACTCTTATTGGCTGTTGGAGAGGCAGATATTTCTGAGGGAGAGACGATACGAGAAAGAGAGATGGACAAAGGTGAGAATTCCCAGGGCACAGTCAACCACGGGGCAAGAATGCTGAAACATGTTTTGAAAATTGGGATCGGTTTGCTTATTTATTGTTGGTGTGAAAAGATTATTCTCTTTTAACGCTTGCGTATTTTCGCGTTTGGTGAAAGAAAAGCGGGACAAAGTTGACAAATTAACTTACAGGCTCGACAGGGGAGGGAGGGAGGCAGGGATGGGGGAGGAGAAGGGATCAAAAGCAAGAGAACAGAGAATGAAAAGAGGTCAGAGGAAGATGAGATGGGGTGTGATGCACAACTTCCAGTAAGGAAGCAAAGTTGTCAAGTTTCCTTGTGGGGATGAAAGGAGGCAATATCTCAGGGGAAATTGTTGAAGGGGTTTTGCAGCTTTTGTAAGGCACTGAAAGAGCAAGTGAGTGACATACTGTTTATGGTATTTGAAGGCCGTATTTCAATGAATGGGACTTTTCGTCTTTGGAACTTTCCGAAAGTCCGAACTCAAACCTAAAAAGTGATCTGTCCCTTGGTTGTTTTTTCTGCTGCCATTTAAAACAAAGGGAATCCCATAGACTAATGCATTTATCAATGTTTCATGTTTCACGTGCACGTCTCGAGACAGACCCCTAAACCCTAATCCTGTCGTTATTGTTCCATGAAAAAATATAACAGAATAATTCAAAGAAACCAAAATAATCCCCTTTCATCTGCATTTCACAAACCTTTTTAACTTTCTCAGGTGTTACGTCCAACAACGTAACCAAACGGCTCTAAAAAGTTGTTTTTGAGCAGGCAGAGAGTTTAGACTACTTACATTATGTTATGAATGCACATCATATGTACCCGATTATGGAACTGTTCCTTAAAATGAAAACTGCTCTACAGGTGATGTGTGGTGTAAATTCCAATCCATTCACAGGGTGCAGATCACAGGTTGCCAGCTCAGCGTAAATCATCCAGAGGTGATTCTGAGGAACTGTTTGGACCCGCCACCTGAGCGCAGATGGATCACCGACACACTCAGAGTATCGGCGCCTTTTGAATCCTCAATTCAATACGTGGGTTTAGTTTAGTTTTTAGTCATGTCGGGTCACAGTAATGTGCCCATTTCTCGGACAATGAGGGACGTGCTGCCGGGCGGATGCCACAATGTAACTTTTTCTTTCCCGTTAAGATACCGCAACCCTTCCGACATTTCTCAGAATGTCCAAATTAAAAAATATCCTCAATTTTAAATCTGGTGGCATTATTTGATATAGACGTATATATATTATGTGGGTAAGTATGATGCTTTAAACCTGTGGACATTTATCTTCCAGATTCAAATCAGAATGGTATTGATCTACTGTGCGACTAACATTTAACATAAAAGCAGACGTGATGCTCATCATTCCTGTGCAGGCAAAGAGAGAATATTCTCCCACTTCACTCGGACTGCTTTTCTTTGGAACAGTGAATGTCATAAGAAGCACCAGATGTTAGATCTCATCTTTTCCCAAGCAGATTTCCTCAAGTCAAACAAACAGAAGCATATTTCATCCTAAAAGGGCATTGGCAAGCAACTGACTAACTACTGTAAATAGCCCCCCAAAAAAAGCGCAACGCAGCGAGGAATCAACTAACCTCTTCTCTTATAGATGGGGGGTTTCCGGTAGATGTTGGTTTCCTCAGAAGCTGAGAACGTAAACAACAACATAATGAGTGTGGAGAGCAAAGGGAACAGTGGAAGGGGAGGAAATCTGGATTTCCTTTCCTAAACACGTCCCTCCAAATTAGTAGGATGCATTCACAGTCTCCTTAACCGTAAAGCTGACAGCACTGGTGATGAAGTGCTAAGGCGGCGGCAGAGCCGTGCATCCAAGCTGATTGAAACAGATTCACAGGCTTATTACTGGAAAGAGCAGCAGATGGCACAGGAATAAAGAAGAGGGAGGAAAGCAGTTGAAGGGTGGATAGAGGGCTGCAGAGGAAAAGATAAAGATTTAGAGGTGACAGCGGCATGTGGTTCCTTGTAGTTTTTGTTTGGTAGATTATTCTGTGTAATCACTCATGTAGGAGTTGCTGAAAAAGCACTACAGCAACACATTATAGTCAATATAAGAAATGCATGGTGTCAGGAGCTGCAATTAAAAAACTACAGCAAAAGGAAACAAACATGAAAAAAAAATATTTCCAACTCCTGCACAGTGTGCCATTAAATCTGCCACAGTTCCAGGTCCGAATCCCAGTGGGATATCCATACTAAATCTGTAAGCACTCTTGATGCTGTGGGCACTTTGTATAAAAGCATTTACCAGATACATTTTTCTCCATGTTGAAAAGCATGAAGGGAGTGATGTCGCAGAGACTGGCAAGCAGTAGCAGCCCTGGAAAAAAACTGGAGAGAAGGAACATGCAGTGAGGAAAGGACTAAAGGCAGCAGGAGGAAAGGATGGAAGGAAACCAAATGCACAGCTTGCATTGAAAAGTAAAGGCCTTTTAAAGTGAAACATTTGGGGAAGATAATATGGAAGGTTCATGGTGTATTTAAATTAAATGACATTAAAGAGCTCATGCAAAAGCTTGGATCAGAAAGATAAATTAGACAGACGTCCTGCTGTAGAACAATCTTCTGCCAATTCTACAGATGGATTGGAACAAGATGGTGTGTAAAATGTTGTTGCCATCGAAAAATCAAACCAAGAATATTTTAATTATTGAAGGATCTCTATCAAATATGAAGGAAAAGGGGGAGGGGGGGGCACAATATTACACAACCCAAGTGTTTTTATTTTCTTGAGTTCATTCCAAACCTAAAGATTCCATTAATAATAAAACAGATGAAAACAGCTAAAAAATATAAAAAGATATTGGGATGAAGTGATTATCAAAACTGTATTTCTTTGTACGTTTATTTCCCCAAAACATTTAAATTCCATATTACCCTGGTTAAAGGCTTCCTGGGAATGAGAATGTCGAATGTTTGAATGAATGTTTGAATGAATGTTTGTATTCTAGGAGAGAAGCTGGAGTTGATCTGGGCTTAGGGTATTTAAAAACACTCAATGGTTCCTGACATCGGGCTCTCGGTATGAGTAAATGTTTGCAGAGTGGGTCAGTGGCAATCTATCATGGGCATTTTCAGGTTAGTAAACAGGTCAGAGGGGGCCTACCTGGTACATGGAAATGCTTGGGGGCTTGGAAGGAGGTAGTGGTGGGTGTGGTGCACCTGGGCTCGGGCTGACTGTAATAGGGTGAACTCCTGTCACTCTCACTGCCTACAACCAGCGCAGCCAATCACAGTGAGGGAAACCAAAGCGTGAGCAAAAGAATGGCCCATGTCCCCAAACAGACGGAAAAGACAGATAACCTGAATATTTACATGCATGTCAGCGTGTATGGTTTCTAGTCAGGGCTGCTGCTGGAACGGGGCGTGACACTCAAAGAGCTAATTGGACCTCATAATGTCTCTGTGCATATGTGTGTCTCTGCATGAGTGGGCACATTACCGGGGAGATAACAAGGCAGCGGGGAGCCTCCGTGGCGACTGTGTGCAGGGGAATCAGTATGAGCGGAGCTGGAGGAACGCCTCGTTCTCACCTCCAAACCATCCAAGAGATCCTGGATAAATATATATACAGAGAGAGACTATCTTAGAGAATGTGCTACTCTAAAGGAGTGAGGAGCCTTTTCAATTAGGTTGAGAGCAGTTTCTTTACACACATAAACAAACAAACAAACAAACACACAGACACACACAGAGACCTTCAATTTCACGCTGTGAATGAACGCTTCGAAGAGAAGTTGTGATTAACACTGAATAAGAAGCTGTATTTAATAGGGCTCGTGTTTGGCTGCGGATGGTCGATCCATCACAACTGTTCCGCTATTAGCTTTCAATGGCGCTGTTTTTGATTACGGTTCAAAGCAAACGTAACTACTTACATGAGAGTATGGCGAAGAGGAGCCCAATGACTAGATGAGAAGAAAAACATATCATTGTTATTGTTATTATTGGTGGATTTCCTTCCGGTTGACTTTTGGTCAGAAAATAAAAACTAGCCCGCTGTAACCTTCGCAATTGATTAAATTGTGTGTCGGTGTCGGTGTGTGTTTGTGTACCTGTACGCAGCTGTATTGCTCCAGAGTGTCATCTGAGAGGTGTGTGTGCGCGTGGTCGGCCTGATAAGGGATGATGTCCGGCCTCTGGACGTCATGTATGCGTTTGACCCTGGGCAGAGCTGCAAGCTGCTTATAGTCCGAAACATCAGCTTTAGACTGGAAGAGACAGAGAGAGAGACAGAGAGAGATGTATGATACACAAATACATTTTGTGCAACAACAGAAAATACAGTAAGTTATTATAAACGTAAACAGACACTTGGTAGACTTGCAGATACACAGAAAAGAAAAGAGAAAACAGACTGACGGGTCAGTAGGTCACATCAAAATTTTAAATTTAAAAAGCTTAAGACCGATTAAGGGACATTGGGGGAAGCAAAGAGGACAGACATGTGGAAAGATTAAAAGACAAACTAGCAGGAGAGAGATGGGAGACAGAAAGACCTTTGTGTTCTGTCACCGTGGGTCATATTTTGATTGACAGCTGTGACAGCTGAGGGCGTCACCGTGGCATTCTTAGCATAACCATGGCGACGTCAGCACTTACACAGATGAGCCGGCGAGGGGAGCCGAGCAGAGGAGAGGAGCCGGGGGGAGTAATGGACGCCGTGTCAGAAGTGTGTCTCAGCTGGTAGGACAGACGAAAAAGAGTCAGAGCGAGTCTGAGGGTCAAAGGCGAGTTCGCTCAAACGACATGTCAGTCCACTGTAAAGATGTACAACGACATTACACCGCTCTGTGCGCTCCCGTGAGTCGGTCCTGTGTAGAGTTCTGCACACGCACACGCTACACGACGGTAACTGTGCGTCTTTGAGTCCTTGTGGTTTTTAAACTACATGACTGACGCGGGAAGAAAGGTCACACAGGAAGTGACACGGGCAAAATCCTGCTAGTCTCATGCTCTGATTGGCTGCAGCTACCTCATGCCGTTAACTGCAGAACCACAAATTATTGAGTATTATTTATGATTAAAACAGGGTTACGAGTTGTTACAGCTCAGAAAGACAACAGTGTCTAAGGCCGGATAACTAATCCTTAGCTTTGAGCCGTGCGCATCCTTCTTTAGGTGTAAATAACAAACAAATAAGATCGTTGTTAGGTACTTTGCATGAGGATGAGCCTGCATGTAGTAAATATGAAAAAGTGTGTTTCCGAAGACCAAAAGGCATGGTCTTAGTTAGTTTCTTATAATAATATATAACATTTTATCTAGTAAACCAACAATGTGAACATTTCAGACACAGAGAAAAGAAAAGAGGGCCGAACCAGAAATAGAGAGAAATGTCAGGGGGTCGTGGATATTTTCAGTATTGCTCACCCTCAGTTTTCTCTCCAGCCGAGCGGCTTCTTTACACACAGGGTGCCAAACTTCTGAACCTGAACACAAACAGGGATTAAGTAATTGTAATGTAATGTTGGAGAGGCCCCCATTTTCTTCCAAACGGAAACATTTCAGCAACTGTTGAACGGATTGCCATGAAACTTCTTATCAGCCATTCATGGTCTTCAGGTGATGAATCCTACCATTTATGCTGATCCCATGACTTTCCACCATGCCACCATGACTTCATTTGTCCTCTTGAGTGAAATAAGTCACTATTGGACAACAACATGGACCGCTTTACGATTGGGTACACGCATTAATGCCCCCTTCAGGATAGATGTAATTGCTTTGGTGATATTTCAACCTTCCTTCTAGCATCACCATCAAGTAAAAAATGTCCTTTCGAACACTTTTGGAAGGAGGAGTAAGGATTAATTTTGTGCCAGATAGTCCATGAAATCCATTAATAGTCGAGAGAAGGCAGCCATCACTGCAGCTGATACCTGCATCACTGGGAGCCATAAGCACTACAGATGGGAGGATAACATGTATTCTAGATTTCTGAGATAGTGATCATGGTAAACTATATATACATTGAATACTTAGCTAAAAGCACAATTAAGAACTACATTTCTCAAAAAAATAAATAGACCAAATCATGCAGTATTGTGTTAAAGAGACAGTAAGTGTCAAAGCAAAATACATAAAAGAGATGCTACACAAAATAAAACATTTACTCGTTATTTATTTTTTATTTAGAAAAGTTTATTTATTGCATAAACTGTGCATACACATGCTAAACAGAAACACTGCTTTGACAGAATTTTGCTCAGTCAACTCTCAAGAAAGCTTTTTTGAATTGAACTGAATTGAACAATAACAAGCGTCGGCCTAAAAGAAGGAGAAAAGAAACAAAAGCTAATGTTACCTCTGAGCAAAGATAAAGAAGGAAAAAAAGCTCACAGTTTGTACTCATAAGCATAACAACCACTAATGTCAGGGTACTATATGTGTCTAGAGCTAATGGTGATGATAGTAATAAATCCCCTTTGAACACACACACACACACACACACACACACGTTTTCTCAGGCCTTTGGGCAACGCAGGAACCAAATGGGCTCAGTTAGCAGATCATGACTCTAATGTACAACTACTATGAACACCATAAATCTGACCTGCACACGCGCACACGCACACACACACACACACACACACACACACACACACACACACACACACACACACACACACACACACACACACACACACACACAAAATCAATACTGTAGACGGGAACAATGCGTGGTGATTCAGTGCACCCCCGTCCCACCCACACTCCTCAAGTCTGCTGCCAAACAGATGTATGGCCTCGGACTGCAGATCCTTTATCTCCTGGATGAGGAGAATCTAAACGGTGCAGAGAAAAGGAATTCAATCCAAAACATCATCAGTCCGGAGACGTTAGCTGCCTGAAATTTGGTCTCAAATATAATAGATATTCTCGTTCTTTTCATTCAGGAATTAAGTCTCTTTAAGACTCTTGCGTTAACTTGATGAGCAAGAGGAGAACTCTTTATCTTATATTCAGAGGATGAACGTAGCCCATAAAAACAGGAATGCAATATTACCATTTATGTTGTGTCATTTGAAATTCTAATGCTACAGAGCTGCAAATATATAAATGGCCCGCCGGAGTTTGTTTTCTGCTGAATCATGCAGAGGAAGCGCATACGCATCAGACCAATATTATCAGCCTAATATGTACAATGAATGCTTCTTTAAACCTCCTACCGTCTGTTGCCCCTACTTTTTGTCAAATGAGACTTTGTTGAGAGAGTAAGAAAAGAGTTACCGTCATTTCGACTGTAAACTGGAGGTTATATAACACACACGCTTCATCAGATGTTTGGGAAATGCTGAATCATAACAACCCTCCTGACAAAACATTGATCCATTATTGGACATTAAACATTCATGGTTACTTCATTAAATAATTCTCCACCTCCAACACACAACTTCCTATTCCAGACATGTTTCACGAGATTGATTGCACGTGTGTGCGCATGTGCATGTGTGTGTGTTGTAATCTAGTAATCATAAGCAGTGAGTGTAACCTCGCGGCAGCTCAAGCAAACCTGCCTTCATATGCAGACACACTAATGTGGTCTCAGCTTTTCAAGCGGGTTCACTGTTGTGCACGGGAAGTTGAGCCGGCATGTTCTGCGTGTCCGGGCAGAGATTAATACACACACACACACAGACCTCGATTCCAATATGCAAATGTGTAGTTTTACTGTTGTGAGCGGGTGAGCAGCAGAATGTCAATGAGGTGAAACGGGAGGCGTCTACTTGTGTGGCCTCTGTGTGTTACCTCATGTTACGGGACAGTGGCTCTCCGTTTAATCTGGATTCAACTCAGTCATCTGTGCATTCGCTATTTGAATTTCTTAATTCACTTTCAAACTTATCTTAAGGAAACATTCGGGCAGTTTAGAATTTCAGTACGCTTACGCTTAGGCTTGTTGCCTGTTTACAAAACCATATCTCCTTTGTACAGTATGTACACGTCATTGTTCTTCTGCCTACTTGACGCATGTATTTATTTGTTAAATGTTCACAGCCAACAATTTTGCATGTATTTACCCTTATCCGTGGTAGAGGTCAATGTTAAGGTCAGGGAAAAACCAGGGGACTTAATGATGCCGCCTAATCAAAGTTTGGCAAAATATATTCTTTATTTGCTTTATTTGCTTTATTATGGCCAATAGGATACGAGTAATCTGTAGGACATGAGGTTGTTTATAAGCCGAATGCACATAAATTCAGTTTTTATCCCACATGGACAAGAAGGTTTGCCAGTTCCTCGTCTCGACCTATATGAATGCACAAATAAGCTTATTAACTCTAATTGCTATCATCTCATTTGTAAAACAGCTCCTGGATGATTCAATTTAAACATCCGGCAAAGTCTGTTTCATTCAGATTAATTCTGTCGGTGCCGGTGCAGAGTAATGGGCACGCCGGACGCGGAGGTTGAGCGGTAATCGACTCCAATCTTTGTGTGAACAGAGGAAACATCGGCTGGGGGAAGGTGTGTGCAGTTGTGTGTCTTTTACCACTAAAGTAAAGACTGTTGTGTGTGAGCTCAATAGGCTGTATGACTGCGCTTTGGGAAAAGCAGTCACTTATCTGGTAACCATATATTCTACAGCTCTCTAACCCACACACACAAACAAATGCACACACACGTACACACACGTACAGGTAGGCACGCGCACACAAGCTATCTGGTTTCTTTCTGTGCAATCTTATTCAATTTCTATGTATGCAAGGTATATATATATATATATATATAGCAAAGCCGAAAAATCCATTTTATTAGTTTTACACATGTTGTAATAATTGTTGAGCACTCTCCCATCTCCCCTCACCTGTAAGGTACATCTCCTCTCCTTCCAGGAACATCATGTGACAGCGGGCACACCTGGCACAGCTGGGGTGGTATCGCTTCCCTCCAGCCTATCAGCAGGGGAGTGAGAGGAAATAAATAAGGCCAGAGAGAGAGAGAGACACTACTGCCGATGACACAAATGAGGAAACCAAAAGAAATAGAGAATAAGAACGAGGAATGAAGAGAGAGGCAGAAACTAAACAGGGATGAATGCGGTCGAGGAGACGGGAGAACGTCGCTTTGTTGGTTTTGCAATGCTGCTTCGTCGTCAGTCACTTCAGTCATTGACAGAGAGACAGCTGCGTTTTTTAGCGGCTTTTTATAGACCGACACACACATATTGCTGTACAAACCCACTCTTTCTGTCCACGAAAGACACGCACGGACCTAAAACACGCTCATTCAACCTCTTGTTCCCATCTGTCTAAAGCACACACACACACACACACACACACACACACACACACACACACACACACACACGTATCCACACATGGAAAAGTGCGCTCACCTCCAGCACTCTGCCGCTGATGAACCTGTTACAGCTGTCACAGCGGATACCGAACTGAGTGTGGTAGTCAGTCTCACAGTACGGTGTGCCATCCCTGATAGGACGGGCAAAAAAGCATTTAGAAAACAAATTCACCAGCTGGCTTCGTGCAACGGCTCCACTACCATGTGTCCTGTAACACATTGCGTCGCATGCAAGATTCAGCGATGAGCAAAAACAAAGATTTTGCATTGTGACTTCCGAGTAAAACAGTGTGTAGTCGATGAAAAGACTAATGGAATAATTGTGTGTTCTTGTCTTATATTGTCAAATAAATAATACATGTGATGGGGAAAATAATCCATAAGAGTGCTGCAGGTAGCTGGTCACAGTGCATAGCTTCAGACATGAGAGAAAAAAGTGATGTAGGCTCAAACAGTCGAGAATGGACATACATTAAGCCACCTACTTGCTGATGTACTCTCCAGTGAGCGCACAGCCGCACGTACGGCATCGGAAGCACGTGACGTGCCACTGTCTCTCCAGAGCCAGCAGAGACTGTCCCTGTTTGATCTCCTTGCCGCAGCCTGCACAGTCTAGAGGAGCGGAGAGGAGAGTCAGGAAACGCAGCCATGACCTCGAGGGGAAGACGCGATCGGCTTCCACATTCTGAGCTGCCTCTCTGTCCTGATCTCTCCTTCCTTTCTGCAGCTCACTCACTTTTTTTCGGTCATTTAAGTCCCGCTGGCTTCGCCAGATGGAGCTAGAAGAACCAGGCTACAACGCTACCTGCAGCAGGCCACCTTCTATGTGGAGGCATGTGGCGGGGGGGGGGGGTGGAAGGGGGGTGGAGCTGCAGGGGATGTGGTTATCTCTGGCAGCGTGCTGCAGGCGTACATCGAGCCTCTACTGGGTTTTCTTATTTTCATTCACTGCTACATACACCTTCTTCCTGGTTTAAATGTTCAATGTGGCAATTTAGTGGATTATTCTACAGGTGAAAATAGTCACCAACAAATACACTATTTACTGAAGTTGGAGTAAAGATTTTTGTCTCCAGTACAAATCCAGTGCTGTAGAACTCGAGATTGATGTGACCCGGATCCCAAAACTGTGTGGGTTTCAGCTTTCAGGTCTGGACTCAAAATGTGAACTGAATTGAATGCTGGCAAGAAGCTTAAGGTACCACAACTACATTGTTTTTGTCGTGAATTATCCCGAAAACCGTGTGTTTAATATTCAATGTGTGTGCGTGCGTTTATGTGTTTGTTTCTTACAGCTTGGTCCATGGACCTTGACGGGCTTGTCGTTTCTCAGAGTGTGTGAGCATCGCTGACACACACACTTCTTTCCACAGAAGGTCACTTTGTCTCCAATTGGGAACGCACTCCTGAAAACACACACACACACACACACACACACACACACACACACACACACACACACACACACACACACACACACAGAAGACTAAGCAAAAATGGTTTTGGACAGAGGGATTTATCACAATGGATTTGAATGAAACGACAGCCGTATTATTAATGCAAGAAGACATTAGAGCATGGATCATGAGTAAATGTCTTTTGTCCTGAGGGCTGAGCCATGGCTATATAGTGTGAGGGCAATGCAGCCACGGCCGAATCCGATGGTTTAATTGTATATAAATGTGTCACAGCATCGTACTCGGATAGAAGATAAGAGAACTGCAGGACGGGCTTATGAATGATAAAGATAAAGCCACTGCTGTTCCACAGTCGCCTCAGAAACACAGAGAGTTCATACTTGAGAAAGTACAAAAGTACAAATGCGATTCAACATTTTTTTTCTCATCTGTTTAGTTGCAGGAGAACGAGTTACATGTCAAATTGTCTTGGATGTCAGAATCAATATACTGCCCGGATCTATATTGTGCTTTCTTCTGGTTTTAGCTGTACAGTCTGCACACATCAGAGGTTGTTGTGAGAGCCTCATTTCAGTAAAACCCATTTCAGAGACACCATTTTATTGCATTTAATATGCTGACACAGTCATTTTTAAAATGAATACACATCATCCACTTTTCAGTACAGTGGGTTCTTTTTCAACCGAGTTGGTGCAACACATACACATAAAACAAACACAAAAGGGAGGAGTAGAAAAACTGTCAATATAAGCAACCCAAAACCGAATGATCCATTACCACATCACACACACTGACTCTGAGGTTTCCTTTTACATTATCATATTTACTGTGCAGCTCACGTCACATTCACCGGCCCTTTGAGTCATTCCCTCCGGCCTCAAATGAACTGACCGAAAGTCAGTGCAACATTGACTTGATATATAATAAACAAAGTGAGAGCAGCATCCCGAAACCAACATTAAGCACATGTGAAGGGATTCATCTTTGTTGGATCTTGATCACTTCTTAGCTACACTTATGGACCTTCATTGATACGTCGAAAAGTATTGTACTAATGGGCAATTCCAGTCACGTTATTTATATTTAAAAAATACATTAAATAAGCATTGATGGTTGTTCAATCTCTTCCTACGGTCTTTTAAGAGACTTCAGTTGCAACCTCTGGGTCTGAGAATCAAAGCCTTTTAGGGAGGAACTTATCTCGTCCATCAGAGCAAATCCTCTGGGGGTAAATCCTCTGGTTGCATCAGAAAACCTCACTTCTCACTTGATTTATTACCTCAGTAAAAACAGTTTAGTTAAGCGTGTTCACATTTGGAGTAAAATAGCAGAATATGACAGTGGATACCTTATGATTGACAGATCTCTAGGTTTGTCCTGTCTTGTAGTTGCAGTGTTTACCCTACCATTATAACAGCAACACTTTTTAATTTCACTCCATTTCTACCACTAATACTACTATTAATGCAAACATGACTGTTTCAAATGATATTATCATTTTTCAATATTTTAAAAGGAATTACTAGAGCAGAACAATGGATGTTTCTTAATTTGAGGGAAGACATTAAAGGACAATGTTACCTGCAGATGCTGCAGACAAAGCAGTGTGGGTGGTATGTTCTCCCCAGTGCAGACACCACCTCCCCAGTGATGTACTGGTCACAGCTGTCGCACTGGGTCCCGTAGAGCCGCTGGTAGTCCTCTGTACAGATGTACTCGCCAGAGTGGTGAAAGAAGCCCGAGCGCACCAGATCACAGCCACAAACTGGGCTCACGGAGAGAGAAAAAAACCCATGAATCATTCATCAGTTCAAACGCAGGGACAGAAAGTGGTACTGAAAGCTAGAAACGCTAACAGCACTAACACTAAAGAAAAGCAAATATACGGGGTTGGTCAGATAAGGAGCTCTCATGTAATTTGTATTACCTATAATTAAATAAATATGTATGATAAGTCTGATCATATATAGCTTACTCTGAGGTGAGACAGTGAGTCATATGAGCTCACTATTTCATTATTTTTATTTAACAATTATTGCTTTGTTACTTTTTTCACTTTTAGCTATCTGTTATGTGGTAACTATCTCAAAAGAGTATCCTTTATTATTACTTTTAGTTAACATTCACCATCTTCAACTGTTTATCCACAGGCAAGGTTAACAATTTAAACGGCTTATCCGTTATTTCTAGCAATTCTTGGCTGTTCGTAATTATTTCGTAACATCCTAAATCGACATTTTTGCGATCTATGATAGGAAGGTTAATGTAGCAGAACCTTCCCTTCATTATCTGGTATCAGTGGAACTTATATTTCATTAACTTGATTTTTTTCTTTTTTGACGCATTGCACAGTTTTGGAGGAGGTATACCGGGGTATATTTGTGTTCAGAGGAAGACCCAACAGGCCCAATACAGGCGTGTGTTTTTTCCCTGGGGGGGGGGGGGGGGGGGGGGGGCTAAGAGTGCAATCTGTTGGTCCTTCTGACCTTCAAAGGGTTGAACTCTAATCTGGTTTTGAGGATTAGACCGGTAATCAACTAATCTGTTAAATATGTTTATGTGCATCTATGGGAGTGTTGTGTGATGGATGCATTTCCAGGCAAAGGGACACATGAGCGCTCTCACAGTGTTTACTATATGCACTGACAGCTTGATGTATGTCATTTATTTAAGTTCCTTCAGCCAAATGATTGCCTCCGCTGCAGCCCTGTAGAAGGATGACGTGATCTCTGCTGAGCACGTCGGTTAAATCTTTTGAAAAGGAATTGACGGTCCAGCTCTCAGGGAGCTTACGCTCACCGACCATCAGTAGCGTCATAAAGGCGTTATAACACATGTGACTCATGCTGTGAATGGAAGTATAAACTGTGCCAGGATTCACCCGGGAAGTTAGCCATTGAGAAGTCAGCCCGCGGATCGAAATATCTGACGGTGAATTAAAAGTCTGGGCTGTAATTAAGCTAATGGCTCTAAACCCAACGGAGTGAATGGATCCGATCTGATCCGAGCCAGAGTTTTAAGTGGCTCAGACAGAGAAAGACACACCGTGGAGCCAGAGAAGTAGTCCAGCGGCCTAGTGTATGTCTATTGGAGCCCACTTGGTCATGAATACAATAAAGTAAGATCTAAATGAACGGTAGTTTAGTTTCCACCTTATAAGCCTGGAAACCAAACACATGAACCATTAGGTTTCCGTTTAGAGAGAAAGGCTTTCATTAAGCACAAGGCCATGCACTCATACCATAGCTTTCAAGCATATTCTTATAATATTAAGTAGATATTAACATGGTATTGACGTTTAATGCAAATTTTTCACACGACATCCATTAACTGTTAACCATAAAAAATGATTACTCTCAAGAACGTCATAATTACAAACCGTACAGGCAGATTCTTGAATGGAGGCAGGTTTTATGTGTCTAGCGGCACCAACAACGAGACAATTCAATTTGCTCTACATGAGACATAAAAGGCATTATCACAGGTTGTGAAAGAAACACAAAAACAGATTATCTGGGTAATTTACTTATCATGGCTTGTTAAATTCAAACCAGTATTACAGTACTACTTTTAAGGATTTAACTATATGCCAGAAACACTCAACCAGGATGGAACTCCTTCACACTCCTCGCTGCAGACGGTAGTTTTTACCTGCACGACACGGATCAGACCATTTTCAGCATGACTGTGGAGATTTGTATCTAAGGCGGTGATCTTCCAATACAGACGTGGTGCCTTTCATTTTCATTAATGACAGAATAATCTTCTTACGTTTTTGTTGGCTTGATGAGCGAAATCTTTTTGTTCCTATGGGAAGGTAAAACTAGGACATTATTCTCATCGTTTTCAGCCAGTTGTGACATAATTTATAGAGGTAAAGAGACGCTCTTTTATTCTGTTTCCAAGAGGCAAACACTGCAGGAAGATAGCCAGGTACATTTAATCCTTTTTCGCTGTGCTGATAGTATTCACACATTCATCACTGTCTAAATGGAAGACTATTAAGATATGCAGACTAACAGGAAAGAGAGGGAGCAGTCGAGGCTTGGCTGGACTCCAGAAAGGCCTCTGGTATATTTGGATTTTAGAAAAACTGTCCTCTCAGAACAAAACCTGTGCATGGACATTTTGACTATTCATCAATGCATTCGTGAATTGACATTCATCTTTATTTGACTCATTTTTACCTACTTGCAGGCCTACTGCTCAATTTCTGCTCCCAGTAAAGATTAAAAATGAGCAAATCTCAGCAGATTTGCTGTAGAGATTATTATTTTCATTAAGACCGAAAGTAAATGGGAATTGATTTATCCCTAAATGTCATAGGTTATTATTTCTTATTATTCCAATATGCGCTTGTGCAAAAGTACAGACAGCCCCACAATATCTGATGATGCTGAGGGTCTTAACTCTTCTCAAAACCTCCCAACCGGTCAGGAATCACATGAATCACATGAAATGTGTATAACAGTGTGTCTGACCCCCCCAAAAAGTCATTAAGATAAAGATTTCATTTTGCAGATTTGCAATACTAACAATAATAGAAGCCAGTATGGGCCTGGGTGTAACCACCCATTACTCCTTCTGTCACGTGACATCTTCCCATTGCCGTGCACTTCAAATTGCTGACTGAAGCATAATGTTTAAAAAGGTCAAAGAAATGTCAGTCGCCTGCACGCCAGACCTGTCAAGAAGAAAATGCATGAACTTGCCAAGATCTTTCTTGTCCCCACTAATTGTTTTCTATACGTTTGGTCTCTATTTCTACTTGCTACGTCAGAACTGACCGGGCCAATGAGAGATAGTGGTTGCTTTCATTAATGCAAAATTGACATTGATAATAAGTGAATTCCACATTTACTGGTGATTTGTTTCTGCTGGACGGTGGAAGCGCTTGCAGAGAGGAACAGCGTTTTTATGGCCGTCTACCCGCAAGAGAGTCAGAAGGTCTCACAGTCTAGCACATCCATACTCAGTCTGTGCAGGGACCTGTGCAACTTATCACCGCCAGACAGAAATAACGGTCATATCGGGAAATGAAAGGACTCAGAAGTGACTCATTCGGAAGCCGCCGCCACAGTGGATCAGTGAGAAATAAATGACACCATCACTGATGCAGTTACTATTCGGCGAGCCTGAAAGATGTTAAGCAGTCAATGCGGTCACGTGCACCAAACAAATGATCAGATTAAAGTCTAAATAAATGAATGATATAAACACGATAATTGGTCAATACAACAGATTAGCGGATCGTCGGCTGCTCTGCACTGCAGTTGTAGCTGCAGCCGAACCATTGTTGAGGTTATTAGTTCTACTTCCGCTGTCGGTGACGTAAAAAAACAGTTGGGGAACAATGAGGAAACTTTAGTGTTGTGATGCTGGCAAGAACTTTAGCTTGAGCTTAGTAAGCGAACATAAGTCATATGACTTATCACATGACTATCCTACGGCTGGATGGAGTCCGAGCCCCAACAACTTTAAATACGAATGCTTGTTATATACATCATTGTTAAAAGTCTCTCCTGATTGAATTGACAGAAAGTCAACACGTGATGATTTATTTGTTTACTGCCGGCGGCGCCCGATGAAAGACGACCTAAGTGATTTCAAACTACAGGATATGAATGAAGATGAATGCAAGGACTAAGAACTCCTGGCGTACGAGAGTTCGGAACTGCCCCCTTTTAGGATGGATCGGGTAAGAGCAAGCACGTGATCCAATATGGCTCCTTTAGGCGGTACTGAAACAACACGAGGCGCTCACTATCACATGTCCCCTGTGATGAGAAACTAGCATCGGAACCGGAAAGGAAAATTGGGTACGAGGACATCTTTACTGGAAATGCATGTTGACTGTCCAAGTATAGATCTGAGAAAGTGTCTCTTTCTGATTTAAATTCTACATGTACACAGCGGCACACTTGAGCCATTGTGGAAATGCTCATGCATGGACAAACACAAAGAGTCCCGCACACCTAAGCTGAAACTGCGGTGAATGCTTCACAGTTTGTCCTTGAAGTCTCATCTGAAGAAAGAGCCATCCGTGACTGTCTGCACGGCTGAGCAAACACTAAGACTGATAAAACACTGCTCTGCTGGTGTACGCGCTCGCTTCAGACCAAAGGGGTTCAGGCCCGTAGGAAGCTTTAAAGGGAAAGATAATCATGGGTTTTATATTCTGTCGAGAAGGTGAAGACCCTGGAGTTGTAGTATACACACGAATGAATGAAGTGTTGGTCCGCTGTAGATCACCTTCGAGGGACTTACTGAACAATCTCCTTAAATGGGATAGAAACGGTTCGATGCACAGCGACAATCGGCCTCCGTGGGATCTTTGTCCGTTTCCCCGGGAATGACTGAGTTTGTTCTTTACCAAAAAGAGATAATTTAAGGTCACAGAAGACGAGACGAAGAACGTGGCTCAATTTTCTGGTGCAGAAGACGAGAGAGGAGGATTATTTTGGACACGAAGCCAAGACGAGGCGTGGACAAATGAGAAAGACAGGTAAGATGGGAGTCAAGGGAGCGATTTAGAGGGGAGAGGAAACGAAAAGGCATCAAATGTGAGGAGAAAGGGAAGCAGACAAGCAAAGCGAGGGGTTGAGGATGTGGAGGAAGAGACAGGGGGGCTCGGGGGAGGTATCAATGAGGCCATCGATCTGTCCATCTCATCGCACGTCTGCCGTCCCGTCACCGTCTTCCCTGATCTATTCGCATCATCGGCACGGGATGGATTTGCTGAAGCTCCTCTGCATTTGCATGAGTGTGATCGGGATGGTTGAAAGAGGAGGAGAGGGGGAGAAGGGGAGAAGGGGAGAGGGGGGCGTCGGGTGGGTCTAACAGTCCTACTGAGGAGTGGTCAAAAAAGAAAATGGACAAATATGTGCCAAATAAAGACTTTTCTACATTTATTGCCTTCGTCGCTCAAGTTGAGGAGTTATACCTGAATATTTGCATAACCAGTAGTACAGTATAATATACAATAAAATATCATATTTTTTTAACTAGTGATTCGCTTTATAAAGTAGACAAGTTCATGAGAACAGAAAGATAATAATTGCAGGAGTCGCATTCATGGATGATGAATCTTTGCATGTGGCGATCCATCCAGTAGCTGTTCATTTAGTTCTTCACTTAGTAGTGAACTAACCAATCGTCTGCTAGCGTGTCTAACATTTTATAGCTGAATGTAATTCAATTGTGGCCACACCGACAAATAACCTTATAAAAATCGGCAGGATAAAGTTGATGAAAGTATCACGGTCAACTGAACCTGAAATAAACAACAGGATACACATTTTAGTCTAGAACATCTAAATTAGTCACCATGTAACACAAAGACAACCTCGATTCACACACTCAGCTCATTCCGTTCTATTTATCATCTTTCCCAAATCTCCTCTCTGCTCTCCAAGAACAAACTCTTGAATCCTAAATAACCACAATTACGGGAGATTAAACCATTCACCAAACAAAGAGGCTTTCACAGCTATAAATAAAGCACGAGATACAGGAGAGAGAAGAAAAAGAAGACGTCTGTGTACCGAAAGATGACAATTTGATTCTTGCCCACTTCATCAGCAGATGTCTACTTGACCCACGGCTCATTAATTCATTAGTGTACTTCATATATCCAAAGGTAGAATCACAAACAATCAAATCTGTTTCTTGCGCATATTCTCTCCCTCGTTGGTGCTTTGTGGTTGCCTGCATTGAGGCGATGTAACCAGCCGATCACAGGGAGAAACAGTGTTTTGGGACGGCGGTTGGAACCTGACTTTGGGCCTTAAACCTGCTGACGGCACGGTGAAGCCAGCTGCTGACCGCAGACCTCTATGTGTGTATCAGAGGTGAAGCTCAATCATCCAAATAAACACAAATGGTCATATATGCACATCGGCTGCTCTTTCTAATTTATATTTAGCTTACAGACATGAATTTTCTCAACTAACTCAGCAAAAAAACATACAAAGTACATACTGATCTGCCCAAGCAGCATGATGTATCAGTGTAAATACCACAAGGCTCATATTCAACTTGCTTTTTTCAAGAGACCATTTAACAAACCAGTGATTCTGCCTCTTTCAGGGAGCACTGGGGGGATACGCCATGACCAGTTTTTTCCCTTCAATTTTGATGTTTTATTTTCAAATTGATACTGTAGCCTATTATCTATATTACATAATAATACAAAAAGAAAAAAAACAGTTTCGTTTTACTTTGATAAAAATAAAATGCTCGGTGACTTATTGCGGCCGAGTAGTAAAGGATCAAAGCCACGCATTGTGAGTTGTGTATCCAAGCCCGGATTTTTGGTATTTAGTCATTAAATCTGCACTGATTGTTCCCCATTGAATTTTTTTGTGCTGCAGTGGCCGCTGGGATATTTAGATGAAAATCCCTACCTAGCGTTCACTCTGGATATATCAAATGTAACCTTTTGTTTGTGGTAACAGTGTCATCCAATTACCGAGGCCTCTGTTTCGCCCCGTTTTATCATTGCGAGATACAGTTTGTGATGCAATACAATCCTGCTGAAGTCGTAGCTCCAGTGAAGTTATCATTGATTCAATGGTGCTGGTTCCTTCTTGTCTGAGCACTGGCAATTATTAAATATTTAATTATGCAAATCGATGTGGGTGGAATCCACACAAGGCCACACATGAGTCCAAGACAGAAACATAAATGAATATGAGACGTGTGTGAGTGGAGAACGGAGGCGGATGCAAGTGTTTGTCCATACGTGTCTGTGTGTGTGTGTGTGTGTGTGTGAGTGTGTGTGTAGGTGTGTGGCAGCGTCGTACCTTGGCAGGTAAAGCAGAGAACGTGGAAGTGTGTGTTTTTGACGCGCACAACCTCCCCACGACACACCTCCCCACAGCGCTCACACACAATGGGTGAATTGCCCCGGCTGGAGAGAGGAGAGCTGCTGTTGTTGTTGGTTCCTCCATAAAGGCCTGACTGGTACTGAACTGAGGAAACAAGCAGAAACATGTCACTTATTGTCATTTTATTAACAACGTGATGAAAAAAAGGGGTGCAAATGGGATGCATTTGTCTTTCCTCGGTGTCTTGTTACAGGAACATGTGACAGCTAAACACTAATGCAGCATTAATGCATAATGAATCTCCCAACAGCTGCTCAGGTTTGTCACATAAAGCACAAAGCAAATCCCATCTTCCAGTTGCCTCATTCTGAAACATCAGGACAGATGTTTACTTCCACTTCAAAGCAAAACTTATATTTAATGCAGCACAAGTGATATGCCAGACAATCTGAATCATCAAGACAAAACCACACACATTCTGGGTTTATGTTTGACGGAGAAGGCTGAGTGATTGATTGAAAGTGGTCAGGCTACTCAGGAAGATCAGCACGGCTTACAGGGAAGCGGCTTAAGAGACGAGTGCAAAGGAAGAGGGACACTAACTAACCGAGACAAGTTTCAGACTGCTGGTGGCCTTCAGCATCTTACAGGTGAGAAGAGACAGAACAATTACCCGTGCACGTTTGTATCTACTTGTATTATATCTATAATTTACTCATTATGGAGTAAACTATATTTATACGTCATTATGTCTATTGTCTATGTTTATAGCAATCGGAGAATCTATAGCGGCTTCGGCACGGAACAATAAAGCTTTGAATGTTTAATCTTCAAACAAAACAACATGGTAACATGACACACACACACACACACACACACACACACTGCGAGAGATGGAGAAGAGCAAGTCGGGCTGTTTTGGGATTACACGTCCTCGCTTATGAAACAGGTCAAATCCCCTTTAGAAAAACAAGGCATTTCTTTTTGCTGAAACACACACACACATACACACACACAACTGTGTATAATGTTAGAAATGTTGGGAATAGATTTCACTGACTGGCAGCATATTCAATAAATATTGATGTTGATTTCCTGTCAATCAACCAACCTACTTCTGTTCAGCACACAATGATCTCAGCAATGATTCTCTACTGTATTCTTCCCAATTCAATTCCATTACAGTTATATTAATGCTGCTGCCTCCGAGAGTATTATGCAATCGCAGCACACAAACGCACACACACACACGCAACATGTTGGCAGGTTAAGGCCAGGAGGGACACAGTTGTGGATCTGTAAGCGTTTGCAGGATAGAGAGAGAGGGAGGAAAACCAGGTAAAACTGGGACAAAATGTTTCTTAACGAATCGTTTCTCCAGTTTGTGTGTGTGTGTGTGTGCGGGCGACACAAAAGCTGGCATTGGCTGTGTAGCCAGATGGCAGCACAAGGACTGGAACCACAGACATAGAAAGCCACCTGTGTGTTTGTGCATGCTTGTGTGTGTGTGTGTGTGTGTGTGTGTGTGTGTGTGTGCATGAGAGAGCTTGAATGTGTTCTTTCGTGGGTTTATATTTGAGGTTTAAATGTTGTATCTTCTTGTTTACAGGCTGTAATTGATGAAGGTGACAACATGGTAAGACACTATGCTATATGTGCTTGAATGTGTGTTTGTGTGTAGGAGTGTGTGTCGGTGTGTGTCCACACAGTGAATCCGCTCACTAGTGATTCCTCACATTCAGCGGATAAAGTGGCTTCAGAGTATGTTTGACAGCTGTCTGCAGCACACATCTGTTCTCAACTTTGACCGCATGGCAAAACAGTTTGTATGAAAAAAAACAATAAGGTGTGTGAACCAAACTACTCTGCAGAAAGCAAATCCTCTTCTTTTCTGTGGGAGATTTTGGGGTCACGGTCGCTCTGCAGCACGTGGTCACGATTGCTCTGCCAGAGACGCTTTTAAGTTCTAACATCTACCTCGGCGAGTGGGCCGTGCAGCCGAGTGGCTGCCAGGAGCTGTGAGAACACGTTTTAGCTGCAGAGACACATTTTATTCTTATTTTATTTTGGGTGGGGATTTGGGGATTTAGGGGTTTCACACTAATAAAAAGCATCCTCATGTGGTTGGGACATATCACAGTGCAGAGCACAGAAGAAGCAGCTTTGTCTTCAGGCTACGAGCTGCTAGAGGCTCCTCGGATCACTGTTGAAAGCAAAGCACTGACCTCTCCCACAAGAAAAGACAATGTATTTGATCTATTTATTAAGAAAATTGATGAATTGACTGGGTCCTGTGGAGAATTCTCCAGTGGAGGATTCCTTGGTTGTTTAAACTATAAAACACTGAAAAATGCTCTCGGATAGTCAGATATCAATACAAAATATCTGCCTTTGCGTCTAACCTTCATCGTCAGAGAGGCAGCTAACAACATGATGAAATGCAGTCAGTCATCAATAACCCCATTGAAGGACTGTTTATGTCTCCTTCAGGTTAAACGGTCCCAGGACATTAAGTTATCAATCATGCAAAAGAACACACATACTGTGGCCCACACGTGTGCACCTCACCAGCACACGACGCCCACACACAGACACACTCACACACACACACACACACACACAGCTTACCATTTGTCGGTCCATTCATGGTGTGAAGTGGAATCCAACCAGGTTCAATGACGCAGAGAGTGTGTGTCCGTCCGCTCAACCAAGCTCCAGATACCAGATACCAAGCAGTCCAGTCAACTCCCTGCGTCCCCCCCGTCCGACTCAAAACCTCACCCCTCCCTCTCTACCCCCCAGTCCGCCAAGGGCTTTCCCTGCTCCTCCCGGCAAGCGGATTACGCACATAGACCGCGGTGCCCCTGCGCCCCGCGTAAAGGCGGCCGGTTGAGCCGTTAAATCGGAGCGGACTGCATCTTCTCGCTGCTCCTCTCGCCCTCAGCCTCTCCCACCCAACCCGAGCTGCCCCCCTCCCCGCATCGGAGCAGAGGCGTCCATCCCTCTCCCAAAAAAAAAGCCGGTGTGAAAGTAAAGAAATGCTGAATGGTCAGAGCGTCTTTCTCTCTCCGGGCCAGAGGAGCTGCGCGCACGGCGGGAGAGCGCCGCGCAGCGTCGGAGCTTTAAACTTCGGGCAGAGAAACACCTGCTGGTTCTGAGTGTAGGGACGACGCGTGTAGTTCTGGAACTGGTAGTATGGCGTGTAGTTCTGGAACTGGTAGTATGAAACCTCAACGAGACGTGATCGTTGTGGTGAATTGACAGAGGTAGACGCTTAAATGCAACTTCGGAGACGACATACAATAAGCCAAATAAAACCCAAGATAGTAAAGACAAAGGGAATTAAGGGGCCATGAATAAATAATTAGAAATGGAAAAAATACAGAATCACTGACATTAACAAACAAAAGAACTAAAAACTAACTAAACAAAGCCCTCATTAAAAAAAACGCTCACACGAACGTGATTTAATTAGGCGGCAAAAGCAGCGTTCTAAAAACCAACATGTGAACTGTGATTGGCTCCACATAACATCATGATTAACACTGTCAGCTGGGGGGATGTAACAGGATCCATAAAGGGTTCATTCAGATTGTAATTTTGTTGGTCCTGTGTGGTATGCATGTAATATTTCTTCAAATATGTCCATTTTATTGTCAATAAGCAGTGAATGGTAGCGGGACAGAGGGACACTTTAATCATGCTATACTTCATCTCATAGCCTGTCCTTTTTATAAGCATATAAAAATATGAAAGATAATTTAGGAAAAATCATCAAATAATATTTGATAAAAAAAGAGCAATTTAAATTTGGTTAACATTAACCAACTCGGTGTTAAATCTGCGTTTGTTACGTTTTCCCAGAATAATATGGACGGGTGATATTTGAGTCGACCACAGTGAGCCATTTATCTGCATCTACAAACCAACACCAAAGGGTGGCAGCACAAGTTAAGACAACCTTCATGGAGACACTGCTCCGTGCAGGTACTAATTGTGTCGATCCCATTACTGAAATGTCCAAATAAAAATTGTACAGCACTTTTCTACTCTTCCAATCAGTCAAAACACTTTAATACTTCATGTCATTGTTCACCCATTCACACCGAGATGACTGGAGCTACCAAACACAGTGCCGTCAGCAACAAGCATTCACAGAAATAGTCCCAGGAGCAATGTCGGGTTAACCGTCTTGCCCAAGGACACATCGGCACGCCTCTTAGCAGGACCTGGGATCGAACCATCCGATTCTCTGGTTGGAAGACAACCGCCCTCTCCAATGCACAGTGGAAGTACACAAGATCCACTCTGGATAATGTAGTGGTGTCAACGGCATTGTGAATGGATGACGTTGTGTCATAGCCTGAATTGTAATCCACTGGAATTTAAAATAAATAGTGAGTATATGGGATGCATGTTGACAATAAGAATATAAAACTCTTGATAATACCCCAATTTTTTAAAACAACAGAGTGGCATCATGTGGATTTTTTTGTCACAAGTTTTCCTTTTGTTTAATTACATGATTCCAGTTTGAACACTGGCGTTTCACTCGGATAAAAGGCCCTCACACACAAAAACATGTTTATGCAGTTACCTCTCAGTCCGTCCTGCCTCAGGACCCTGTGACTTTAAACAATGTGCAGCAAGCTTCCTGCAAACACTGCCAAAGCCCTTCCTAATGCCTCCGCCACAAGAAGCCACATTTTAAAGAGAAAATTGGCAGCATACGTAATGCTATAACATCTTCATATATGTAAATTAATAGTAAAATTGTGGTAAAATCCCAGCCAATTTAGTTAGAGTGCTGCCTCTTTTGTGTGTGTCTACTTCTCTCAGATTCAGCAGCCAGCGGCTGGATTCCTTCGGTCAGATCCCAGCAGCCTTCCCACCTCTCCTGTGTGCGTTCACAATCAAACGTCAGGTCTTGGCTGATGCCTAGAAAGTCCACTGTGGGTCAGAAAAATAATACGTCACCGGGAATATAACATCCAGTTTGTGTGTCTGTGGGGACGTTTAGGTGTGATTAATGGCCCATTGTCAAATCTCTCTTTACATTAGGAAGCATTTGGACACAATATGGTGTTTCCTCAAAAGAACATGTTTTGCCACTGCACTGCATGTTAAACAGAACATGAGTACAAAATTAATTTAAAACTGGTGCACAAAACAGGTATTTTTGAAATCACATCACTAAATTTAACTGCTCCCTCAAACTGCCGACATTTTTTAGGATATTAGGTTAGATAGTCGGTTTGCTTTGCAGCCTTTGCACTTTATTATAATCTAAAAGAGGAAACACAGAAGACGTCTGTTGTCTGTGTGGGACATTGTTGCTGATTGGACGAAGTGCAGCTGATGAGGAAGTTGAGATTATTGAATGATGTGCACACACAGGAATCGAGGAATATAAGTAGCGTTAAACACATTCTGTTCTTTATCTGATTTAGTGAGAAAGGAAAAATAAATGGGAGTCGGGATTTTAGTAAAACTATAATAAATCTTGTCTTAATAAAAAGTGAATTACTAAGTTTGATCTTTTTCATAAAGCCAACTGTGATATCAAGCTGCAAGCCTTCAATGGGGTCCAATGTTACATATAACCAGCAAAATCCCACAAATACAGCAGGGCTCTGGCATGATGAGGGCGCTGCTGTTCCAGTGCAAACAGACAAATCCAAGGCTCTGCAAATAGAACATAAGAGGTGGGGGGCCAGAGAGAAAAATAAAAAAAGATGAAAGGAAACTTCATGGTGTGAGGTGCCTGAGCGGAGAGTAATTAGTCGCATCCCGTTGGACAGGAAGCAACAGGCTTTATAGGAAATGTGGCACAACATCAGCCTATAAATACCTTTGGTGTGAGATCGAAAGGGAAATATCAGTGTCGTTATGAAGACAACGTGAACCAGAACCAGAACAGTGAAATGTCAGAGTAAAGAATTAAAACAAAACGTTTTTAAAAATAAGAAAAAGTGTCCTGAGATCTGAGAGGGACTGTGAAGTCAGGGGATCTGTTTGTGCGGTTTGTGAATATGAACAAGACCTTTCCACTTGTGTGTGGTTGTGTGCCAAGATAAATGTCAGCAGTAAGCATTTAAGACAAAGAGAAATGAAGCATTTTCAAACAATTAAGGTCCATAAGGTTCCAAACCCCATGCAGGACAAATGGGTTTTGACAAATGATCCTAAAGTTCAGCGACAATTGTATCAGCCATCAATGTAACTTTTAACGGAAATAAAGGTTGATTTTCCTGGGATGTCACACCACACACCAACCAATCGAGTAGCTCGGAAAGGACGTTTTCAAATTGTACACTATTGTGTAGAACCACGCAGATGCTCCGCATTCCTAACCATGACGTCAAACTTTATTATTTGTTTCAACCTTGACAAAGGCCACTTCCAAGTTCCACTCCTTGCATTGGCTTTCAGAATAAAAGCCCTTGTGTTTATCTGTTTATCAAAGGAAACTCCATATAATGCTGTCAGTAGCTTGTGCTACACAAAAATGTGTGCCAGACGCCGCCCTGCGTGGACTTTTATGCAAAAGGTGTTTGTGGGTTGTTCAACCATCCCATCCCTGGTTGTAAGGTCTTCAGGAGTGGACAGAAGTATGTATTGTTTAAATGGTCACATTGAGGCGACTTTCCTCCCATTGGCACACAAAAATGGTTTAAATGTAAAAGGTGTTTTTTTTCAGTCAGGAAATGTTATAAGGGGAATGTGAGGTCACTGTCATTGTGTGTTTGGATGCCTCTCTTAAAAAGGGGGTCGTAGGTGGAGGGTCCTCAGGTTTGAGACTCCTACATTGGGATATATGTGTTTTTCATATGTGTCAAAATGGGAACACAAACTGTATTTGGTTGCCCAGCCCTTTTGCACAATGAAAATAAATGAACCTCGTAACCTCGTGAGTGAGATTTATTGCTGATAAGTAGAATCTAGAGGCCAAAGGTCACTGTACCCTCCCCAAAAACACAAGATTTATAACTGTATATGGCTCCATGAATATGGACGTGTTCTTTTCTCTAAATAAAAGATAAAACAAGGTGAAAGGTGCCAATTAGGAAACTGAGTACCGATGAAAGCTGAGCTGCAGAGTGCAGGAGCGACCCGAGGGAAAGCAAGGAAGCACGGACCGTGATGAGAGAGGCGGTGGAGGGGATTTGTGAAAGATGCGGGAGACGGAAGGTGAGAGATCGATGAGGTGGGAGAGAAAAAGAGAGAGTGTGACTGATGGAAGGACAGGAAGAGTGGGAGGGACGGTGATGACGGAGAGAGAGGAGGGAAGGAAAAGTAAAGGTGCCAACCAACCTGCTTCACATCTCCTTTCAAAACAAACACCGCAGCGGTTTTGTATTTATGAAATGAAGACTTTGTGTAGAAAAGGGAGCTCGGTAGAGCGCAGACTTCAGCAGGCGTGTCTGCAACCAGCACTGCTGCACTGTGTGAATACAATCATTACCACTCGCTACACACTGATGGGTGGTGTGTGTAAGACATTGCATGCAAGAAACCGGCCGCCCCTTCCCTCCAACACACAGACACACACACACGCTGTGTCGCTGGGTGTTCTGGTGGTCTCAGCTGTGTTATCACCACTATCACAGCTGTGGTCCCGCTACTCTTAACCGGCCCCCCGTAGAGCGACAAGTCAGCAGACCCACGCGACCGGTTCCCCTGACAAACGTAACGACCGAACAAGAATTCCTTTATGTGATAACGGCCCCTGTGACCCAAATACGGGTCATTGTCTCATTTTCTGGCTACGGTAAAAGTGTTTTCCTCCACCTCGTTTGACACTTCCGAATATCACATCTGTCCAAACAAAAGCGTGCAACTCCCCCCTCCCCTCCGCTGTGTCTTTTGGGTGTTATGGGGCCCGTGGATGCTATCGCTGCTATCACAGCTGTGCACTCAGAGTGAGGAGTCAGTAGGCTGTCAATTGGCAGTGTGAAACCGGCAATAAAATGTGTTAGGAGTAACAAACCGAAGGTGGTCCTCGAACGTGACTCCGCAGTTTGCTTCAGTAGAATGAGATATTAGCCCTGGACAGAAACCGAAGTGTGCACTCGCTCACTTTCTCCTGGTGGACTTGCCACTTGTAAGTCAACTAGCAACTGTGATCCAAGTAAGGGTCATTATTTCACTTTACCGCGATGGTGAATGTTTTCTGCCGCTGTCGGTTTCGATCATGGCATCTGTCAAAACAGATCTCAGCAGGGCAGAAATGGTGCGTGGGGCCGTCAGTCTACATAAACATGGTGTGTGAGGAGTGAGGCTGAGCAGGAGATAGTGAGACAGATATATATATCATTTTGTCTTTTTATGTCTTTCAGATTCTTTCCAGTTATATTTCCTTGTTAGTGCTACAGTAAAAAAGAAAGCCTTATTATTTGTCTGAAAACAGGTCCTCCACAGTACATCGCACAGCACGTCACATTACAACATCATACTTTACATTCAGTATTCAAATTCTTCATTGGCATATTCTGAAAAGACAGTTTGCTTCATGTATACCTTTCACAGTACAGTCGTTTCTTTGGTCGAGGTATTTCCCTTAATACCAGAACACTGCCGTCCATGCAGACGTCAGATCTTGGTGCAGGAGGATAAGAGGAAACATACAGAGTCAAGTATAATGGATAACAAGACTCAGTGTCCAGATGAGGGAACGTGTAAATGTTCCTTATGGACGTTCACTCACTGCAAATGAAAGAAATACTTACCATTATCTATACTATTATAGTATCATTCTGTTATCAAAGCATTTTTGGTGACGTGTGCGCAAAATAGGTCCAATAAATGGTGTACAACAAAAACAAATGTGGTTTTAAAGACAATGCCTCATAATTGCAATGCGTGGTTCCATTGTAGGTCTGTTCCACCATTTCCAACACAGAGTCAGGTTTTACTTGATGTTGGATTTAGTGGAAAGTTCAAAAAGGATTAGAAGAGGAAACCCACAAAAAGGACCTTCAGACAGATTCACACTGCCACGCTATGCGAGCTCCGCTCAACATCCTCATTTCTTTCCCTTCACTCATCGCTCAGTAATTTTCCTTTATTGAAAGTCCAACACTTTGCTGGCAAAAAGGTCGAAGGGTGGCTTTGGATTCCTTTGAATAGAACTCATGAGTTTGTGTAGATAGCTGGAGGCATTTTAGAACCAACGTTGTAACGACAGCAAAAAAACAATGTTACCTGGTTTAAACAGTGAGTTCATTACGAGAACAGCCATAGAAAAGAAAAAAGGAAACAAGGATTATGATGCTCACTTGTAACCATGGTTTCATTTCTGTGAGCACATTTTCTATTGCAAGAAGTGATTTTTTTCCATAGGGAAGACAAAGGAAAGACATCTGCAAATGTTTTGCAGAACAATTTGGTTCATTGAAAATACATTTTTATTACACTGACCATAATGAAAATGGCATCAAAGTGGACCTTGATAGGTTCTGCAAGGGGCGCGGAGCTTTCATATAAAGGGAATGAATACTTTAAGAGTAAAGGTGGGGTAGGGAGAGGAGGATGTGGAGAGGGAGAAAGAGGAAGGTATAGGGTAAGGACAGGAAGAGCTGGGGAGAGGAATGTGTTGGGGCTGGACAGACGGGAGGATACGGCCGTACCAACTGCAGAGAGAGTACGTCGAAATTACGTTTCCCTGTTAAATTACAGTAAACTACTTAGAGCTTCAGCTTCCAGCATTACATTGTAATTCTACACTGAACTCAATGCAATTTACAACAGCAGTTTAATACTGTAAAAATTACTAAAGCATTTGGCTCTGCAGAAAAGCCATTATACTAATATTTAAGCATTCCTACTGCAAAGTCTGCAAAGTGTTTAATACGCTAAAATACATTGCAGAACTATTGAGTGTGTAGTTTGCACTATAACACTGATAGAAGGTAATGATTTTTAAATCTTTTAAAAAAAAATCATAGAAACAACTCCAACAGGAGATAGCCTTACAAGACAAAGTTTTTAATAAAGTCAATAAAGTATTAAACACAGTAGCCGACCATTTTGAATTAATTGCATTTTTGCAAAAATACAATCAATCACTTCACCATTCATCACGCTGAAAACACTCTTAATCTGCGTGCACTAGTCCATGTACAGAATTTAAATCACATTTGTAATAACATATTCTATAAATTTACATAACAAACATACCACCTAGTAATGTGCTCATTGTACTGTAGGGTCATTGTTGGGATCCATTTGACGTCAGTTAAGAATATTAATGGAATAGAAAGCAAAGGGAAAGAGCCAGTCTGAAACAGCTCAATTGAGACATATCATTTAAGATTATTTGCGCTTAATGCAGAACCCCACCTGCTCAAGATCTACTGCAGTGACAAACATCTGATGAACAAGGACAATGATTTAGAAAATTAAAATGAATTGCGTTGTATATAATAAATGTTAAAGTAAAGCGCCCTTGGCCTACTTACATTTTACAACACATCAATACGGACTCACATTGTTGGTCGGACCACACATTCATATAAATGTAATATAATGTATGGTTGTAATGTTGAATGCAAATGACCAACCTAAAAAAAAGTAAATACAAATGTAAATTCAAGACAAAGGTAAGTAACTTTGGTACCGGGGTGATAACCAGGTCAAGTAAGCCGCAGGAGGAGGAGGGAGGAGACGGCCGCGGTGTCCAGGTTCAAAGTCAGGGTCAAATTGTACTTCTTGTTGTTCAACCTTCGAAGACGAATCAAAGTGTTCAAATGGAGCAAAGGGTCGCACCTTGTTTATCTCAAATCAGTCCATTTGGCCATGTGGATGCTGCTCTGGACTTCTTGACAAACTTGATACCAAATGCATCATGAAAAGTATGTACGACTTGAAGGAAATATAATGGCTCTAACTGTGGTTGAAGTGTTACCTGTATCGCTGGTACAGGAAACACTGTGAGGTGACAACAGCGAAACACGCACAGGACCTATTTTATGTTTGCTTAATATATTTTAAATAAATACTCACTGAAGCCATAAAGTTGGAGGAATGTAAAAGTAGTTAATGCATTGGGATTAGTTGTTTAGACTGCTGCAGTCTGTCAGCACAATGCAGACAGAACAGTGTTCAATGACATGGGGCAAACTCAAGCTCAAGTGAGCTCAACTCAGATAAAGTAATAAGCAAACGTTTGACTGATACAGTCTGGGTGAAACAAATGGTAGAACATGTAATAATACTTAAATACTGGTTTCAATACACTTTGGCGCATGATACAGTACAGTTTGATGTAGCTCAAGTATAAACTGCGGGATGACGAGCAGATGTTGCTTAGCAGAACTCATATTATAGAGCTAGTTATTGCAGTGTCCTCTAACCTCAATTCATCATGCAAGAGGAAGTATTGTTGACTGTGTTTCTTTTTTGCCTACAACCTCGACACCACCCACAGTTGTTTTAGTTTAGCTTGTTTGCAACAACCCTTGCAACTGTGCATTTGCATGACATGTGATATGATGATGCATAAGAGAATACAGTAGAGTATAATGCTTAAGGTTGAAGATTATTGTTGTGTTTTTAAACTACTGAACAGCAGCAGTGCATCGCCACCCCTCCCCCCCCCAGCAGCCAAGAAAACGTAGGGCCGTGCTGCAGCTGTGTGAATGTAAAGTAGGGTGGTGCCGAAAAAGATCTCAGAAACGCTTCCCTGAATAAATTACAAGTTAAAAAACACATGTTTCCAGGAGTACTTTAGAGCAAGCTGTCAGTCCACTGCAGACATGAGACATACACTAAAATACTTTCCCTGGCCTCTGATAGGCTACTCTCTCGCTGTGATGTCATGGGGGCTTGCATATAAAAAAGGGTGCCGGGCTCAGCTGTTTCAAAAGGGCAAGTGTGGTCGGGGGCTGACAGAGTGTGCTCATGTATGTAGGGGAAAGAGAGAGCGGGGCAGTGTGTGTGTGTGTGTGCGTGTGTGTATGTAGAAGCGTCACAACTCAGCAGAAGAGAAACAGAAAGCAGCAGCTGCTGAGAAACACATCAGGATGATACTTTGTGTCGTGGATTTAAAAGCAGTTGGATGATCAAATCACTGGATTGTGAAGTGCAGGACGGAGCCTGGAGGTAGGAAAACCAGCTGGAATGTTAAGTCACACGCTCATTGAAACATCCACTCGTGATGAAACCACAGCTATTTAAATTTTTTTTTTTTTTTACTGTTTCAGTCATTCAAAAAATATTAAATTATTACACTGGCCGGGATCTGCTCAATGCCATTAAAAAAAATCTAAATTAAACACGTTTTTCTGGAGAAACAAAAAGTTTTATTCCTGTGAAAGAAAAAGAAAAGAAAGAAAAGATTTGAACTTTTAAAAAGGTTTATGTACTTAAACGTGTTATTATTATTTATACCTGATATATATTTATATATAACCCTACATTGTAACCTCTGCAACCAAAATAAGAAGCCAGAGTAAACCTCATTTAGCTGAAATAAGTCAGATATGTTACGTTTTGTCGTACTTATTTTCTCATATTCAGTGGTTCCAAACAAGCTGCAATCTTTAACGTATGTGGATCATTTTATCTGGACAGCCACACGTTTTGTGGCTCACTTGTTAGAGCATGTCTGCTTTTCACAAAGTATACAAACACATCATCAGTTAATCCTACTGAGCACCGCCAGAGCAGGTTGTTCTGTGTGCGTGTTTATGGCGCTTGTGCTTGTGTTTGTGCGTGTCCTATTGTGTGGATTTTTGTGTGTTTGTGCTCAATACAAGCACCACTACCAAGCTGTCTCTGCTTAATACTGGAATATTTATGTCACGGTAAAATTTTGTTTTTGATTACATGCCTCAGAGAGCTGATCAACTTTTTGTGCGTGTGTTGAGGTGTGCAGCAGACTGTGTATTACTCAGGTGGCCGTTCGGATTATTGATTTGTTCAATGGCCGCAGTAAACAGTCGTCCGTATAAAGGGTGGCGAGAGGGGGGGGGGCATGGTCATCTTCATGCTTCATGAAGAAAGCAACACTTCCCATTTTACAGAGATGAATAGAGAAGCCGTTCCATCACTAATAAATAACCTAGTATTGGATTGAGTGCAGTGCATTATTACCTGTCAGAGCAGTCCGAGTTCTGCTTCATTTATTACAATTAAAACAGCCGTCCGAGCATCGGTAATGAAAGATTGATTTTTTAAATGAGTGTGCCGTCAACTTTCCAACAAATCCATCACTTGCACCACATCTGTGTTATTTGTGTTGAGACATTTTAGTAATGATGAAAAAAGGCCAGCAATTTATTTCACTTGTGAAATGATAGTAATAAAGACATGATATTGCCATGGTTCGCCCTTGAGGAAAAGTTCAATACTTTGCTCATTGACCATGAACAAACCGTTGTGTATAAATGCATTCCTTGACAGCTGGCATAAACATGTGTCGTTGGTATTTGGATTATTTTGGGATAAAGCCAACATACACATAAATCCAGGTGAGCATGCACACAGAATCTCTATTTGACAAAAATCTCTATTTGACCGCATTTGAGTTGACCAAATCAAATGCGACACACTGTGTGTTTTTCTCACTGCAAAGTATTTGCGCAAATGTTCTCACCTGAACCTGCAGGGAGTACTTAGGTCAGAGCTGAGCTTAAAGCCACTTTACTGTAAACAGGAACCTCTCGACGTGTCATCCCTCGTCTCTCTCCTGCGTAAATACGAATCTCACTGCATTTCTTGGCATACCCGCCCTGTGTAGCTGGCTGTGACAGAGACGATTGGCAATAGGCTACGCACTCACCTCATGTGTTTAGTTTGAGTTATGGCAGCTCATTTGTCTGGGCATAGCACCAAAAAATACTGCCCCCCCACCCCCGAGCTGGAACCTGTAACACTGTCTTAATCCACGATGAACTAAGCCGTGTGTCCTGACTGTAGACCATGGAACACCAGAGTGATGTCTCAGCACCGGCTAACCACTCGCAGTACGGCAACTCCTCTCTGGTGTCCGACGGGACGGCGGGAACGTCGGAGTACAGCGATGCAGAGCTGGTGCTGCTGGCCGTGGCTATGGGTGTCCTCGCGCTGGCCATCGTATTTGGTAAGTCTCGGAGGGTTTAATCATTGATGGTTTGTTGGGTGAATTGACTATCGAGACTAAAATATTATTGTGAAACAAACATTTGAACGTTACAGTGTCTTCTGTCCAGGTAACGTGCTGGTGATTACAGCCATCCTGCGCTTCCAGCGCCTTCAGACGGTCACCAACTTCTTCATCGCCTCCCTGGCAGTCGCCGACCTCATCATGGGTCTGGTGGTGGTCCCCTTTGGCTCCACCTACATCCTGCTGGGGACGTGGCCTTTTGGAAACCTCATGTGTGAACTCTGGACGGCAACCGACGTGCTGTTTGTGACGGCCAGCATCGAAACCTTGTGTGTGATTGCTGTGGACCGCTACCTCGCCATCACCTCACCGCTTCACTACCCGACGCTGCTCACCAGGTATGACCAAGTCTGGCTACGTGGTTAGGAGGGTTCCGTAACCATGAAACATATGTCAAACATGTGACTTTCAACCAGGAGGACCCCATTTGTTTCCTGTGCGAAACAGGATGTGAATGTTGCTCACCTGATTTACGTATCAGAACCTGCCGTAATTATTTTACAATCAGAACTGATCTTTTACTAAACTTAACCAAGTCTTTTAAAAGCTTTTCTGTGTTGATGGAAGCTTATTTTGAAAAGGCCCCATGCCTTTAAGAAGAGGAATCTAGACTTTCGTAGAAAAACGCACAGAAATGTGCAGGTACGTTTTGGTACGATACCATAAGTGAGGAAGCCTTGACTTTGTACATGCAAAAAACACATGCCAACCAATTCTTAAAATCTGAACCCATGTGCAAGACCAACTACAGTTACATTTAGGTTATGCCCATCAGAAGGTTTGTTAAATAAAGACATTGATGCTATTATGTTACTTTTAAAGCCCCTCTATTACACTTTTGGACAGCCAACATCTAAATATTTCACCTGTTCTCACTTGCCATAATCTACCATGTGTTTACCCTCTTGTCTCCTTCTGCTGGCCAGGGGTCGGGCCTTCGCAGTGGTCCTCGGGGTTTGGGCGGTGGCCTCCCTCATCTCCTTCCTGCCCATCCACCTGGAGTGGTGGGTGTCGAGCGATCCGAAAGCTCGCGAGTGCTTGGCCAATGAGAACTGTTGCGATTTCAACACCAACGCAGCGTATGCCGTGTCCTCCTCGATCGTGTCCTTCTACCTGCCGCTGGTGGTGATGATTTTCCTGTACACCCGTGTCTTCCAGGAGGCTCAGAAACAGCTGGAGAAGATCAGAGGGAGGGAGAGGCACTTTTGTAACTCGCATTACAACGCACCGCCAACTTATCCCGACGATAGCCGAGCAATGAATAAACCAGCGGGAGCTGAGCTGGAGGCGGAAGGAGAGGACAGACTAAACATGCAGAAAACAGAAGGAATCGACAATGTTATGGTGGAAAAGCCAGGCGAGAACAGAGCAAGAACAAAGCGGCTAAAGTTCTGTCTGAAGGAGCACAAGGCTGTAAAAACTCTAGGAATCATCATGGGCACCTTCACGCTGTGTTGGCTACCCTTCTTCATCCTAAACATCCTCGTTGCCTTCCTCGACTTGGGTGACATTAAGCTGCTCTTCAGACTCCTTAACTGGCTTGGCTACTCCAACTCGGCCTTCAACCCGCTCATCTACTGCCGCAGCCCTGACTTCAGGCACGCCTTCCAGGACCTGCTCTGTTTGAGGGGCAAATGGGGGAGCGGGAAAGGGAGGAGGGGGTGGGGATGGTGCAGGGGGGGCAGAGGGCGTTACCCCAAACCCCCAGGTAGGACCAACGGGACATCAGACCTGAATGGCGTAAGGGGGCGGGACGTGCCGCAGAGGTCCGGGTGGAAGGGCAGTTTGGAGACCTCAATCCAGGACAGCTCGCTGACTCTGGCTCCTTGTGGCCGTGAGCAGGTGTTGGAAGTAGCTCCTGGTTGCTTAACAAACTGGGAGGCTCACAGTTCTGCTAATGGGAGCCGTGAGGAAAACCTGGCTTCTATTGCTTGAGCGATTAGGACGTTAAGATGAACAGTTTGCTTAGTCGTGCTGTGAGCATCAATTTGAATTTCAAATCACGGCCTCCCTTTGCTGCTGTAGTTCCTAAACACAACTGCACGAGTAAAGTTTGTTCGGCAGTATTTGGAAGCGTTTTGGTCCAAGATGTTCGGCCAAAACGTTTTGAGGTACAATAAGACTGTATGCAATGCATACGTGCATTATCAAGGTGAAAAAACTAAATGACAAGCTGGTACAATGAGTGTGTCTCTATTATTTATTACAGCCCCATTTATACCAACAAGAAAGGTGATGTTTTTTATTGACAGCCAATTAATTGCTTACCACTGAATAACAGGACGAATGTAGGAGTCATATATTTACATACGAACGACTGCTCCGTGATTGAATTCCCGATTGATTGTGAGGACAGAGCCACTGGAAGGAGGGTTGCTGGTTCCAATTTCATTGCACACTCTAAGGTTCCTTAATATTACCATGAAAGACTTTAGAGCAGCACCTCAGATTTCTGTGTTTATTTTCCTGCCTCATAAACATCACTGCTGATCCAAGATGTATTTACTGGTTTGTTTTGGGGTATCAGACAAACAGACTTGTGACTATGATAACTTCCTCTCTTGGTGTTAACCTTCTTTCATCACAAAGTTGCTGGAACAATTTTCCTTCCGTTTTATCTTATCTATCTCTTCAAAAATGTTTCTCGACCCACTTATCGTACCGGCTTTTGCTCTTGAAGAACATTGTTTTCTGTCAGACAGAGCTGGGGAGATCACTTTCATGCTTTTTAAGAATATATTTTCTTATTGCTTAATTTTCATATTACTCAGAAAAGGAAAATGTTTTTGTCTCTTTAGTTCCCAAATCCAATGAGGATGATAAAGTAGCTCGTATACAGTTAGTACAAGTAAATATGATCTGCATGTGTGTCTGTATGTTTTCTGTGCTAAACTTCAAATATGCCATTGAATATTTGTATATAACTTTAATGGGTATAAGACCTGGAATAAGTACTTGTTGTAAAATATACTTTTTTAAATATCTGCTTCCATAACGTATTAGTTCTCAAAGAAAAATAACCAAAAGTTGTTGTTTCAAGGTTGTATCACGTCTGTTATAGTTACACATGTGGATTTTAAGCGGGACTGAGACTACACTCCAAATAAGATTTACATTATATTTCATTTGTATAGTTCTTGTGAATTACTGAAACAAACAGTTGTAGCTTTTGACCAGAGGAATGGATTATTTTTTCTACCTCCATCAGATCATGAATGTCCTCTCTTTTCTGCAAATATTTATTAATAAGCAGTTCGATATTTTTGTCAGTAAAAGAATGACGTTTTGTATTGTTTGAATTGGTTGCTCGGCTGTGTGTGTGATCTCAACAGGCAGTTCTCCAGAGAAAGAGAGAGGACAGATAAGGTTAACAAGGCTTGACGTATATCACACACCACAGCTTGCTTTCAAACAAACAGCCCGAGCTATTTGAGTTATTTGGGCCCAACGAACAGCTGACTATCATTTTAACGATCAGGAAACGAGTTTGATGGACTGGATACTAATCGAATCCTTCCTCTAAACAGTGCTGACCAATGCATTGGAAATTTTTCATTTTAGCTGTGGTGCTCACTGACAATACTTGAGGTCATTTGTTAAGTGGCCTGTTGGTAAAAAGAAAAACAGCGTGACCACAAGCATGCTGTTGACAAAGCATTCATCCGTAAATCTAGTCTGATTTAAACACATATTCATTAAGAAAGTTCACACTTAAAAATCTTGGCTGTTAAATTATCAAAAGGCTTCTTGTCAACAACAAAAAAACAAGGGCAGGAAATGTGATTGTGCTGGACTTTTAACTAAAACTATGGGACAGAGGCTTTTTGTGCTTATTCACTCATCCAAATTATCCATAAAGACTCAACTTGTCTGTTTGCATTCAAAGTGTGTGTGTGTGTGTGTGTGTGTGTGTGTGTGTGTGTGTGTGTGTGTGTGTGTGTGTGTGTGTGTGCGTGTGTGCGTGAGAGGCATGACGTACACTGACAGGTGCTGACGGTCACAGCTGCTGCAGAGGATATACAATCACCTACACTGCCTCAACTCACACACACACAACTTCACAGTTCGATGGGAAAGCTCACTGTGTATCCTGTGTGTGTCTGTAAATGAAACCTGTTTCCATTGAGCAAGTTTCTAATTTAACACGTTGCGGTCAGAATACCTGAAATGCACGTTTTTTGATGTGTGTCCCTGGCTGTCTTTTGTGTTTGTTTTTAGTAGTAAAACCTGCAAAGAGGTTGTCTTCTGAATGTTAGCGAGTGTTGGATTGTGTTATTTTTAGCCTATAATGCTTGTGTTGTATGTGTTTACAAAACTACCCCCTTAAGCTTTAATCTAATTTACATTCACTTTTTGCTTGACATTAACATCGAGAAACAGACCAATTAAAAGAGGCATTCTATAAATGTTTTACAGCTTCCTTTGTCACAAGTGTCTGCCCTCACTTCCCTTGCAAACAATTGTCTGGGTGTGTCAGTGTTTCATCCTGTTACAAGGTGTTAAGTGGCGTTCTAAAGCTAGCAATGGCCAATGATGTAAATACTCAGTGAACAGTCCCCTGCAAAGACATTTGACATGCATAATTACAGATACAAGTGCAGAAACACACCCCTGTTGACAGGCAGACTCAGTTTAATCCTTGTAGCTCAAAGCAGAGACCCTTCTGGAGTCAGGTCTGTGTACTCAGTAGACACGGGTGGAGGTTTGCCTTCTAGATACACACACACACACACACACACACACACACACACACACTCCCTTGCTGTTAACCTGTAAGAAAGCATAGGACACAGGGGACTGTCTACGCTTAAATGCATACGTATGCGCATACGTAAGCATATGTCTCACCTCATATGTGCAAACACATGACCACACGTCACCAGAGGCACACGCATGCACACTGTGGCTGTGCACAATATGCACAATATGCAGACTATATGGGCACAGATACACAATGTTCTGAATGTGTGTGAGAGAGATGTGCCAAGTGTGTCTTATGATCACAGAGAGTTTATAGATTGTGGGCGTGTGTTGCTGCTGAACTGTAGCCAATCCAACGCGTCCAGCTAAAAAGCAAGAAATAACCTACCACATTTTCTCCTAAAATTAAGGATAATTCAAAAGCTGTACTTCAGTGGTTTGAGTTGGGGGGCTTGCTAGCAGTACCAGCAATACTAGAAAGCATTATTGAGGAAAATATTATTGACCAGTGAAGTTATAATGGCTGGTGATATATCAAATATTATTATAGAGCAATGAAGTGAATCAAAAAATGTAACTTGTACTACAGAGTTACACAGTTTTGAAAACAGAAACCCAACAAAACTGATATTTTGACATTAGTCATAAAATGGACTCCTGCTGCAGCGATATGAATTGCAGAGAGGTAGTTTGTTATTGGAAAGAAGGAAAGTGTCCACGCACAGACTAACCTAGCCGAATATCCAATTTTGGGGAAACGCAGATGTTTGTTTTCATCTTTCGGGCTGCTTAATGTCGCCTTGACATCATGTGTTTTAAAAGACTCTTTCAGGGCCTTGTCACTCTCAATCATTTACTGAACATGAAGCAGCCTCCACATGATAATCCCTCCCTTGTTATACTGTGGCTGCTGATGTCAGGCTCCAAGAGAGAAATCCAGACCATAGATGGAGTCCCAAGTGGAAAAAATGATTTAATGCTGTCAAACTCATGCAGAAAGGAAAATACTGTCCTGAAAATAACTGTCACTAACTGAAAGCACTGTTGTATCCTTGTGTCTAAAACCAGCAACCATCTCAGATTTTAACTCAATAACAATAACATTTTATTTGTATACAGCTCCAAAGCACCATACATTGTTAAAACAGAAACAATTAAAGCAATTCCAACTACAGTACAATTTTGAAAGTGAAAAGTAAATGAATTGAACTCTTGTACAGAATAGGAGGGTTAAGGAAGTTGGCATCGGCAGATCTGCCGTTGTAGGAGGTTAGAAAGGTATGAACTGGCTAGGATGTCAACATTTTTAAATGTATGATTTGCTGTTCAGGGAGCCAGTTGAGGTTTTAAAGGACTCGCGTGATCGTGATACTGGAGTGGGTGCGCAGACGGACAGCTGAACTTTGAATGTATTGTACAGTTTAATGCTGATTTTGCCATACAGGACGCCATTGCGTGTAGACATGCCCGTCTACGCTCCAACAGATGGGGGGGGGGTGGGTACCGTAAGATGGGCAATGTTTTTGAGATAAAAGAAGGCAGTGTTTGTGATGTGAGAAATTGTCGGGGGGGTGTTTCCGTGATTTGGGGTCAATGATGAGGATTTCAGATTTTTCTCCACTGAGGTTGGCTTGCTTCCAGGTTTTGGGGCAGTTGGTGGTGGTGGAGTGATGCGTTTTGTAGAGATGTTAAGCCGGATAACGTCAGCATAGCAACTCAGATGAGTGTTGATGTGTATGATGTTGCCAAGGGGGAGCATTTAAGAATGAAGTGGAGGGGACCAAGTACAGAACCTTGGGGTACACCTTGAGAGACTGGAGCTGTGTCAGACGTAAATTAATTGATACTAACAAGCTGTTAAAGTCGGAAAAGGTATTATTTTAACCAGGTGAGGGCTGTGCCAGTGATAAGATCTGAATTGAAATGGGTCATAAAGTGATTCGTAGTCCACATGGGTCTTGAGTTGGTCGGCAACACTGCGTTCCAGCATTTTGGACAGGAAGATGAGATTGGCGATAGGTCAGTAGTTGTGGGGGATGTTGGGGTCATGGATAGGGTCTAACTGAGGATGGGTGTAACTGAAATGAGTTTAAGGGTGGGAAGAACAGACTTGGAGTGGTAGAAGTTGGTGACAAGCATGGACTAAAATGGAAGCAACGGGATCAAGGTTGCAAGGCTGGGTATTCAATGCATAGAATCATTTATTGAGATCTGAGGGGGATGCTAGGTACAATTGGGAGATCGACCAGACTATTGAGGCAGCCTGATCTCCAAAACCTGTTCGTAAAAATGTATATGAAAATCTTGAACATACAAATTCGTAGTGATACATACGAAATAAATACGGACTGCAACTGATGACGTCACCCTATTCAAAATGAATGGGGACCTGCACCCCGTAAACACACTTTGTGAAGTTTAACGATGTAAAATAAACGTGTTATGATTGCATTTTTAACGAGAAATCAATGTTAAATTGTATGAATAGAATACTAACCTTAACCCCCTCAAAAAATCCAACATGGCAGAGAGACGTTCACTCAAGAATCCAACATGGTCCGCCATGTTGTTCACTCAAGGGGCGTGGTTAACCACCGCCAGTTCGTATGTATTGTTACGAATTAGTATGTTCAAGATTTTCGTATACATTTTTACGAACAGGTTTTGGAGACACGTTGATTGAGGGGGATTTCTAGACACAAAGGGGTGGGGGGTAGGAGGGTCTGACGTGACCAGTTGGTTGAAGATGGTTTCAATGATGTCTTTGTTGGGTGACAGGAAGGAGTTACATTTCCCAGCTGTGGAGTGGGAGAGATCGTCCATGGGTTTGAGAAGTTTATTTATTGTGGAGAGGAGGACCTTGGGGTTGTCAGAACCTGATGCCAGAGTAGTGGATGGAGCGTGCAGTATGTTGAGCCAGTTTGTATTTCTGTATGTATTGCCTGTTAGTCAGCAGTGTGTACTGTTCAAACATGGTATCCAACCACTCAACACTACACTATATCAATTCTGATACTGTAGCTTTGGTCTATATTAAGGCCTGCTCTTATCTTGCTCAAACACCATTCTGCGGTAACGCACTGACCTGGTGACTAACGGTTATTTATACTCTTGATCTAGTTTTGGATCACAGCCCTTATTACTTAAGCAGGATGTTGTGAGTGGTGGAGGAGCAATGAGTACTTTATTTTACAATTAAAGCTTTGTTATTCATTCAAGTCAGATTAGCTGATCCACCCTGCTTCTAGTCTCTATTCTGTACTAAGAAATGTCTCCTGGGCTTTGGCTGTAGCTTCTAATCTTTCAGTGTTAGGATAGACAGGATATAATGATGGACATGGCGCAGACTTGTAGAGCATGTCGGGGACACCTATACTGAGCTGCATCCTATCTTGGACGCTATGCCTCGGCTGCAAGTTTGTCGCTACTGTGGAATGGAGAAGTATTATAGCTGGTACTGTACTGAAATATACAGTCCGTGGCCTGAACAGACAGATCCGCATGATCCTTACGTATGAAAATGCTGGGAAAATGTCTTAGTGGACAGAGAGTTTGACCTTTTGAATTGACACAGTGTTTTGGGATAAACAGTTCAAGCTGATTTGTGAGGGGGGATCTGTATATTGTCCCAACTCATGTCTTATTGCTCAAGTGTAAACAGAGTTCTTTTCCATTTCCTTTAATCCTGAATGACCATACCATCTCTCTCTGATGAGGAGCAAACCAGTCGGGGCTGATCAAGCCCCCCAACTTGAGGGATCCGTATGGTGCTGAGGCAACCACATGGTTTACCAGTGAGCCAACTCAACTTATTGAGCAGACTTTCTTTTAGTTATATATCATATTGCATATATTTCCTTTTAAAAATACAAAAACTCTTACACAGAAAAGTGTGGCTTCGGGTGGCCTGTGCAAATCCTTTAAATATATACATACATGTTGATACATGTTAAAGGGAGCAGTTACTTTGGTAGCTTAGCTAGAACATAAACCAGACAAAAAGTACGTTTAAGATGACGATTTGCTGCCATATTGTCTCGGTTGGGGTAAAAAATGAAAACAAAGGCCTGAAAAAATGAAAAATGAACTTTTTTATCAACAAAGCTTTCCCAGTCTACAAAGGAATAACGTAACCTGTGTCATGCCATCCAAATGTAAGTACAATGTATCCTGTGTGTATTATGCAAATGTTTACAGGGCAATACAAACAGGGTGTTTACTTTTCTGTAGTTGAAACGAGACCTGGATACCAGTTTCCCTTCCTTTTAACAGGTTCGCTTCTTAGTGAGTGAACACTTGTGGCATCACACAAGTCAACCGGGTAGCCTTGACAACAGGCCGCCTGTCTGCCACCATATGTCTTTTTGCATATTCATGTGTGCATAAACGTGTGTGTGCATATTTGTAGCCTTAATGTGTCTGTGTAACTCCTGTAGCCAATATGTGTGGGTTTCTGTGTCCACGGTATGGTTCCAGGGCAGCACAACAAGTTAAATATTCCTGATTGTCCTGCTGTCCCCTTTGGCAAGTACCGTTGGCCGTGTTTGTC